GAGTGTGAGTGGCCCATGGTTTCCCAGCAACCCTCCATGGCAAGAGTGGGAATTTGAACCTGGGTCTCCCAGATACTAGTCCAACACTTTCAACCACCACGCCACACTGTCTGTTCTTTTTTTTTTTTAATGTCAACCACATTTAATCAACCACAATAATATAAAGCATCCCAGCGTATCTAAACTTTGATGCTACCTGTTGTATATTTTCTTTTGATTTAGAGATTCGCCATATCAAATGAAACTTGTCATGTGATTTTAATGTCAACCACATTTAATCAACCACAGTTATACAAAGCATCAGCGTCTCTAAACTTTGATGCTATCTGTTGTATATTTTCTTTTGATTTATAGATGTGCCATATCAAATGAAACTTGTCATGTGATAACTCTGTGCGGTTTCCCATCCATTCACTATATATAAACATGTACAAGTAAATAACTTGTGTAAATTTGATTTATTCCTCACTTGGAGTTCTCATTTATAGACTCATGGTCTTTGCTGCTCATCTGTAGCATAAGGGGCATGATTCTGCCTTGTGGAGTAATAATAAACTGCCATCAAGTCATAACTGACTCATGGTGACACCATGAAGTCATCTCATGTAGTTCTCAAGGCAAGACTTATGCTGAGGTGGTTGGCCGTTGCCTGCCTGTGCGTAGCAACCCTGGATTTCCATCCAAGTACTAACCATGACTGACCCTACTTACCTGCTGAGCTCTCACAAACTCAGGCTAATCTGGGCTATTCAGGCTGATATTTATTGAGGATTACTGAGATGATTGGAGCTGCGGTGGCTCAAGTGGTTAAGACGCTGAACTGCAGGCTGTGGAAGGTCGGTAGTTCAGCAGTTCGAGACCCAAGTTGCCGCATGACGGAGTGAGCTCCCGTCTCTAGTTCCAGCTCCTGCCAACCTAGCAGTTTGAAAGCAAGAAATTGCAAGTAGATAAATAGGTACCACTTCGGTGGGAAGGTAACAGTGTTCCGTGCGCCTTGGTGGCCACATGACCACGGAAACGTCTTCGGACAGCGCTGGCTCTTCAGCTTTGAAAGGGAGATGAGCACCGCAGCCCTAGAGTCGGATTCGACTGGCTTTCGAGCAAGGGAACCTTTACCTTTACTTTACTGAGATGATAATGTAAGGGGAGCTCACTGAACACTCAAAGCCAGGGCCAGTTCCCTTGGGGCACCACAGTCCATCTGGGCATGGGCCAACATCACCTCCCAGAGCACTGTCACTGCTGCCTGGGTCCACCATCCAAGGTGGGCCCTAGAGGCACCAGCAGCTGTCGAATCTTCTTGTCCCTTTTGTCTTCAAGCCAACTGCAGCAATGCAAGCTGAGAGTGGCACCAGAGGAGCCCGTTAGTTATCTTGGATCATCGCAGGCCCACGTGCTCCAAGCCAAACCAGACTACCAGAAAATACTGGACTCTCAAGGAACGCTCTTTGAATCCATGGAGCTAGTGGTGAGTAACAGAGGCCGGAATGAGAACCAGAACTGTTGGCGCTGAAAGGCAGAATCATAAGGAGAGACGAACAGATTTCAAGTCCAGTAGCACTTTAAACACCAAGAGAATTTTCCAAGGAACAAGTTTCCATGAGTCAAAGCTTACTTTGTCAGATGGAGTAACGTTTAGTGAGGGGTTATGGTTGCTAACTTCCCTGGTCACTTAGAGGAGGGCGGGGAGCTGTTCCTGTTGTGAGCAGAGGATCATGGGACTCGCAATAATAGGCTTAAATTACTGGCAGGAAGGTACCAGCTGGATATTAGAAATTGTTGTTTTACAGTAAGAGTAGTTCAGCAGTGGAATCAGCTGCCTAGAGAGGGGGTGAGCTCCCCCCTACTGGCAGTCTTCAAGCAGTGGCTGGATGAACACTTGTCAGGGATGCTTTAAACTGATCCTGGATTGAGCAGGGGGTTGGACTATATCGCCTGTACTGCCCCTTCCACTTCTGTGATTGTACACAGTGCTTTGTATGGAATGGACTTCTCTTAGCATACTGGCTCAGAAGGGCTTTGGTTTCCTGTTGCTGCCTCTAGCATGTATGTTAGCAGGCAACATAGAGGCAGCAATAAGAACATAAGAAGAGCCCTGCTGGATCAGACCAATGGTCCATCTAGTCCAGCATCCTGTCTCACACAGTGGCCAACCAGTTCCTCTGGAGGGCCAACAACAGGGCAGAGAGGCCGAGGCCTTCCCCTGATGTTGCCTCCTGGCTCTGGGATTCAGAAGCTTAGTGCCTCTGAATCTGGAGGTCAATGTTCCCTCTAAGCTGTGGAGTCTTGTGAGCAAAAATTCTACTTTGTGAGCTCCTGGCATTAAACTTGTGAGCGAGCGATTTGGCTGCTGCATAAATAAGTCTGCTCTGGAGCCGTCCTTCCTGAGCTGAGATAAAAATGTGTGAGCTGGAGGCTAAAGAACTGTGAGCTAGCTTAGAGGGAACACTGGTGGAGGTTCCCCTCAGTCACCACAGCTAGTAGCCATTGATAGACATCCTCATCAATCTATCTAATCCCCCATTGAAACTGTATTCCTGTGGCCATCACTCCATCCTCTGGCAGCGAATTCCACATTTTAATCACTCTCTGTGTAAAGTAGTGTTTCCTTTTGTCCGCCCTAAACCTACTGCCCATCAGCTTCATTGGATGCCCTTGAGTTCTAGTATTTTGGGAGACAGAGAGAAAAAGTTCTCTTTGTCAACTCTCTCCACCCCACACATAATTTTATAAATCTCTATCACATCCCCCCTTTAGTCATGGGGCAGAAATTAACATGCAATTATTTGTTTAATTTATACCCCCACCCCCACCCCTCACAGGGGACTTGGCAGCTTTACAATGTTTAAAATACAATAAATACAATACAAATAAATCCGATAAGTATAAAACAATAAAACCAATTGAAACATCAATTTAACAAGCCAGTCTGAAGGATTAAGACACCAAAGGACCAAAGGCTTGAGACCCCAGTTCGTAATGCTAACCAAAGGCCGCACAAACCAAAGCAGCCCTGCGTGCCCTGTAGAATGCTGGAAGGTCCCACAGGGCATGAACTTCCCCTGGAGCTGCTTCCAGAGAAAGGGGGCGGCCTCTAAAAATGCCCTCACCCTGGTGGTGAGCAGTTCGCGGGCCACGTACCTGTAGAAGGCCCCATGATGATAATCTACGGAGGCGGTGGAGGTCACACTGGGAGAAGCAGTCACTTCTGTGCATTCACACATGTGTGTATGAGCATGCATGGTGACTGAACAGAAATATATACCTTACTGTGGCTGCTGTGTTGCGAGGCCCAAGGTATGCAGACTCCATCTTGCAGACAGGTGAGAACATCTGCCTCTTCCAGAGCCCTTTATAATAATGGCTTTTCAGAGCGGTGCAAAGATGAGGTGTCCACATGTCTTTGGAAGGTGGGTTCTCTGAAGTAGCCCAGCCTTGGCATTATGGATGAGAATGAGTCTGTGTGGGATGAAATATTTATGATGCTAATTAGCATTGTAACTGGGCCTCACTGGCAGTCTTTAAGCAGCGCCTGGACAAACCCTTGTCAGGGATGCTCTTGGCTGATCCTGCATTGAGCCAGGGGGTTGGACTAGATGGCCTGTATGGCCCCTTCCGGCTCTGTGATTCTATTCTATACTTTCCCTCTTAAGAGAATGGATGAATTAAATAGAATTTTGAGCTCAGAAGATACTGTGCTACCTCTGTTGACCTGGAAGGGGCAGCTTTGAGACCAAAGGTTCAGCCTTATGACACGGGGGATGAAGGAGAGAAGTGTGGATTTCCAGGAGCAAGTTTTGAAAAGATTAAAGTAAGAATTATAGTCTCAACAAGGGGAGAGGGGTAGGTGTGAGGACCACTGCTAGGGAATAAAGAGGAACTGCAGGGCTTAATGCTGGTTGCCCGTGGCAGCCGGAAGCTTACAAGCCATGGGAAGTAAGGAAATGTAGAATTGCACACGAATAAGAAATTCTGCAGTTGTGTGTCTCGGATGTAGTTTACAATTATCGTACACTTTGCTGAACCTGTAGTGGACTCCCGCTCACCATTCTTAGACAGGGATGGGCTGGGGGGTGGAGAGAAACAACTTCAAATGATCTGGGCATTGCACATGCTGAAGGATAAAGGCTTGCTCCCCCTAACCCGTAAGAAGCTACAGTTGACATCAGGCCGTTCTCTGCAGCATCAGAGAAACCGCTACTAAAAAACGAAAGCTGGGTTTTCTCAGGCTTTGTGCATGTTGTACTGAGCAGCATCATAGGGTGCTATAGTTGGAACTCTGGTCAGCTGTTTGCAGAATCCATGACATGTCAGATGTTTGCAGACTCCACGACGTGTTCAGCAGCACCAAAGGAACAAGGCCAAGGCTCCTCAAATGAGGCTGTTGACTGTCTCCTCCCGTGGACTGGCTGCCCAGCTCCCCTTACTGTTCCAACCGTGATCACGATGATTGGCTGACTCCCCTTCCCTGAGGTCCCTGTGCGTGCCAAAGCATTCAGAATGTTTGAGTCCACAAAAGGGCTGCCTACCATGTCCGATCAAAATATATGATCTGCTTAAAAAGACCTGGTAGCTGAGAGGGTTGGGTTTTGTTTTGTTTTTTACTAGATAGGGCTCAGTCAGAACGAAGGGCAAGGGAGAGTTGGGGCTGGCTACCGAGGGAGAAGGCAGCTTCTGAATTGCCTGCTGTCGTTGAGCAGTTGTGATTATTTGATCTAGCCACATCCACCTTGGAGGGCTTCCATCAGAGGAAGCTGCCGTCATCGGTCACTTTTCTGATTGCCTCACTGTGTTTTGTTTTGTTTTTTCTTTCCCCCCATCTTGAAAACATTTTGCATGCCTTCAAGCTGGATGAAATCCATCAGGCTGTAAATGTTTTTCAAGCCTTTATGGAAGACGACACACATCGTCTCCAGAAGTTATCAGAGCAACTTGGTAAGCATTTCGATGATCGGGGGGGCGGGGGGCAGGATGGGCTAACCTCTTAACCAAGGGCATGCAAAGTACAGCACTACATGGCTGAGCAGATTCTAAGATACGTTCCCAACCTTTCTGCCTGTATTCACACACGCAGCATCCCTCCAGTGTATAGACCAAGGGTCCCCAACTTCCTTGAGCCTGCAGGCACCTTTGGAATTCTGGCACAGTGTGGCAAGTGTTGCCACAAAACGGGTGCCGCAGCTTACCTCCGGTCACACAGTGAAGATCCAAGGCAAGGTTTTTTAAAAATCTGCACAGCCAGTCAGAAGCCTTTCTGGGTCAAAGCCTCCCCTGGCCCTGCCCACTTTCTAAAAACACTTGGTGGGCGCTGGGAAAGGTGTGACCAGGCAATACGACACCCAAGGCATCCCTCTGGGCACCCCTGGTATGCAGGAAACAATATATGTCCGTATGAACATTGTGGGAGTGCTTACTTGTTAAACATAACACATTTGGACTCCACCGAGTTTCCAGACACAACAGATAACAGATATTTACATTATAATCTGCCTTTCTCAGTGAGACTTAAGACAGGTTGTTGCAGCGTCTGATAATTCTGTAAAGATAAGGATAATGGAATGAACACTGCAACTGCGGGGAGGGAGACACAGACACCCCACTTCTTTATCCTTTGTCATTGTTTTCTTTGGTGCTAGAGCTGTTAAAAACTTGTTTTCCAAAAATCCTTTGGGGGGGGGGGGGGGGCTGATACAGAGTCTCTAAGTTGATCCTGCCTTGGTAATTCCCACAGACTTGGGGAGGGGTATCCTGTCTCCATTCTGTGATTTTTATAGCTACTAGCCACTGGTCTTCCGTTTAGATTTGTGTAATCATATTTCAACCTGATTCTATTATTTGGCTTTTTACTATATTTATCAGTGAGCTTCATATGACAGCGACAAAGTTCTTAAATCTTGCATATTTCCTCAGAAACTTAAAGTTGTGTGTATGTTGTGAATTGTTCTGTACTACTTGTACAGTGTCATTTAGAAGCGATAGTTAATAGCCTACCAGCGTTTTCTCCCCTTGATAATGTAATTCCCTTCCCCACTCCTTTATATTTTCCGTTTGCTCCAGTTTTGTTGGGCTTGAGCTGCTTAAGAAATTGTTGGTTTTAATGGGCTGGGGCTTGTTTTGAATACTGTCTTGTACACAAGTCACCCGGAGAGCCTTCTGCTAAGAGTGTACAGCACACATTCCTGAACAGATTCTTCTCCCAGCATTACAAAAGTTTCCCTTCCTAGTTGCCTATTTGTAAGTTGGTTAGACTAACAACACAGCCAAATGATAATGTGGTAATGAAGACCAATTCAAACTACAGGGGGACCAGGGAGATAACCCTCCTGCTGTGTTCAGTGTTGATTAAATATGGTCTATCAGTTCTAGGCCCTGAATTGGATGGCCCAGGCTAGCCTGATCTCAGAAACTAAGCAGGGTCACCCTGGCTAAGATATGGATGGAAGATCTCCAAGGAAGTCCAGGGTCATGACGCCTTTTGCCTTTGAAAACCCTACGGGGTCTCCAAAAGTCCACTGTGACTCAACATCCATCCCTCCATCCTTCCATCCATCCATCCTCCTCCATTCTCCATCCATCCATCCCAGTAAGGAATAATGAGCTCTAGAAGGCAAACTGTACTGAGATTGACCAAAGAAGTTCTATGCTTTAGGAACAACGTGGTGGTGGTGGTGTGGAGGAGACCATCTCCATCTTTGGGAAATAGTGCCTCTCTGGATTGTTACGCTTCTCAAAAGGGCAGGTATTCTTCCACACAGGTGGAAACGTGCAGATGAATGACTTTGCCGTATTATATCCGCTCTCTGCTTTGCTTTTCAGTGAAGCAGTGGGGTATGTGGGGATAGGTAATGGGATATTTTTTTTTGTCTCCTTTTTCAGGATCAAGAACTTTCCAGGGATTGGAAAACTCTCCAGCCCGGAAACTGCTCATGCTTCCCCAGGCACTGCCATCTGTACCTTAAACTTCAGGTTGGCAGCTCTGTTCCTGATTGGCTTCTGACACTGTTCCTGCAGTGTTTGTCCCTCTCTCTCTCCTGCCTCACTTGAACTAAATGTCTGGAGCGATGGCATTCTTGTCCCACATCTACATCATGGCAGCTGTATAAACGCTTTCTGTACTATGGGTCACATCCTTGCCTGCTAACATGTTAATTAAAGAGGTGTGTGTCTCATCTATTGCAGTGTTCAGTGAAATACATTATTTATTTATTTATTATTCAGATTTTAACCCCACCCTTCTGGCCGAAACCGGCTCAGGGCGGCTTACATAAAAACAGGTAATTGAATTAAAACATAATTTGCAGTTAAAACAAATTCTGAAATCATACTAAAGTGCTAGTTGTTAATATTCATACAACAGTAGCAGCCAATAACCACTGTAGAAAGTTCTTATCTCACAGTCAGTTCTTAGTGTTTGTTTGGAATGCCCTTGCAGGGCTTGCTGTTCTTTAGGCTGTCAATGGCAATTCCAGAGTCCAGAGCCAGCTGATGTTCTTCACTGGTGGCGGCGGCTCCCAAAAGCCTGGTGGAAGAGCTCTGTTTTACAGGCCCTGCAGAACTGTAAAAGGTCCCGCAGGGCCCTGATCTCCTCCGGGAGCTCATTCCACCAGGATGGGGCCGACACTGAAAGGGCCCTGGCCGTCAACAGCCCTAGCCTCCTTAAAACCCGGAAGGGCCAGCTGATTCTGGGCCCCTGACCTCCAATGTTCCCTCTAAGCTGTGGAGTCCTGTGAGCAAAAGTTCTACTTTGTGAGCTCCTGGCATTAAAGTTGTGAGCAAGCGATTTGGCTACTGCATAAATTCATTTGCTCCGGAGCCATCCTTCCTGGGCTAAGACAAAAATGTGTGAGCTAGCTCATACTAACTCATCTTAGAGGGAACACTGCTGACCGCAGTGCTCTCTGGGGAACATGTGGGGAAAAGCTCTCATCTTATAAGGTACGCAGCAAGAGATTTACAGCAGTTCTAGTTGGTCTCAATTACACAGAAGGAAGATGACACTTTGGTATAGCTTTTCTTGGGGTTGCCTTGCAATGTCCCTAGTTCCTAGCATAAACCTGACGGGCAGCAGCAGCGTATCACGGGGTCCCCAATGTGGTGCCCACGGACACCTTTCCTGGCACCCGCGAAGTGTTTTTTAAGGATGTGGACGAGGCCAATTGGGGCTTTTGCCCTGCAAGGCTCCTGGATTGGCTATGCAGATTTGTACCAACATTGCTTTGGCAGCAGCTTCTATCACAACACAAGGATCTTAACCGTATGACCAAAGGTAAGTTGTAGCTACCATGGTGTGGCTGGCTCCACCTCCCGCAGCAGCCATTTTGTAGTTGTGCGGGCCAATCTCTGTTAGAATTCCAGAGGTGCCCACAGGCTCAAAAAGGATGGGGAGGCCTGACCTATCATGTTCCACCTTGAACATCTGGCAGTACCTGTAGACCCTTGCTGTTGGCATGAGTGGTCTGTACATATCTTTTGAGTGAGCCTGCTTTCCAGAACCAGTCTTGGAATCCTCTAGAATAGCCAAGCGTGGGAGAGAAACCTGTCTTCCTCCATCTGACTCCTGTCCTAGCAGGCACTTCTGCTGACTTATGGTTCAACATGTAGGTAGGAGGGAATATGCGCCAAACCTGGACTTAGACCACCACTCTGTTTTAAGTATCCTTTTTGTCATTGACTGATTCCAGTGCCAAAGAATGAAGATGGCAAGTAGGTATTTAGTAGTATAATTGGAATAAGTTTATTAAGAGGAATCCCAAGTACAAGCAACATTCAAGTGCATTGGGCATAAAAATACCAAGGAGCCCTTGTGCCTGTAGCTGGTACCAACAGTATTTATCTACACCATGGAGTCATTTGAAGAGAGGAAAAAAAGAAGAGCAAGAATGGTGGAGGGGAAGTATTACCCATCCACTTTAGTGTGAGGATGTCTCCAGCAGGTAAAGGTAGGTGAGTAGGAATCCAGGCAGAGCTTCAAGTGGTCATCCACAAAGATCTAGAAGGGAAAGCATGAGAAGCAGACGTGGGAAGGACAAGTGAGTTCAGAGATGTAGTCAAGCTGAGCATGACCTGGAAGGCTGAGGAGCAACTCTTGTTACATTTGTGGGAGAATGAAGACAAAAAATTGATTTGGGGAGGGGGGGGAGGCAGGGTGAAGTTTTAAAAGAAAATTTTAAAATGTATGTCCCATTTTTCTCCCTGATCTGGAACCCAAAACAGCTTTTCAGGCATTTCTCCCCTCCACTTAGTCCTCACAAAACAGCTTGGTAATGGGTAGGCTAGGATGAGAGATTGTGATGGGCCCAAGGTCACCCAGTGAGTTTCTTTGGCAGAGCATGATGGTCACAGGTCCTAGTCTGACACAGCATCAGAAGAAAGCATGCTTCTAAGTATAAAAATTTTGTTAAAAAGAAGAAGAAGAAAGAAAGCAAGCTTCTGCATTGGTTTGGAGAGGAGGAAGGGGAGACTTGAAATGAAGAGGCATGTTTGGGAAGGGGTTGTCAAAACGAAAAGACTTTCATAGGAACATAAGAAGCCATGTTGGATCAGGCTAATGGCCCATCTAGTCCAGCTCAAGCCATGTTGGATCAGGCTAAGGGCCCATCTAGTCCAGCTCTGTCACAAAGTGGCCAAAACCAGGTGCCATCTGGAGGTCCACCAGTGGGGCCAGAACTCCAGAAGCCCTCCCACTGTGGCCCCCTAAGCACCAAGAACACAGAGCATCACTGCCCCAGACACAGCGTTCCACCTATACCATGTGGCTAATAGCCACTGATGAACCTCTGCTCCAGAAATAGCTTACAGTTACAGGTTGGGATCTTGGGGAAAGGGGTGCTTTTTCAGGTGGGCACAAGATCAAGCACAGAACATTGTACCTGAGTTCAAAACCTTTTAGAATAGTGACTGGAGCTGACCTTATTGGACTGAATCACTTCCTCCCGGGTTGTCCTTTAGTGCCATAGCTGTACTTTTAGGCAGGTAAACTGGCTGGCTGTTCATGTTGATGATTCAGTCATGCAAATCTAGTCCTGCTTTTTTGCATCCGCAAACCCTCTGACTGAGAGTCACCAAATTACTATGGTAAGACAAATACAACGTTTTTTTTTTCAAAGATGGATAGGTGGATTGGTCATAGACTGGGTCCAATAAATGGAGGTGGAGTGGTCATCATGGCAACACTGTTTTGTACAATGAAAGATTACTAACAATTGTTCAGTTCTCTCCTTTTTCATCTAAATACCTAGAGCCAGAAGTAAAAATGCGGATTCTGACAACTTTTTGACCCCCCCCCCCCAAAAACAGCACAAAGTAGATTTTTTCACCCTCCTGTTTCTGCTTGAAGGGAGAATTAAGAAAAATGAAATACATTGGGGAGACCCCTTCTCTTTCAGGCATATCTCTGCCTCCCTTAAACATGTAATGAACATTTTTTTGCATGTCTTCCTTAAAACTCCAGATTCCATTATCTTCTTTTGGCTGCTGGTTTAGTCTAGTTTAAGTCACGGTAGCATTTACTATGCACAGCTCTGGCTTGGGGTGTAGTATTGTTTTTATAAAAGGCGGCCAGGGCTCCTGAAAGAGGGAACTTGTGGGCACTCAATGAAATTAATGAGCAGTAGGCTTAGAACAGACAAAATAAAGTAGTTCTTCTCCCGAAGAGAAGAAGTCTCATGGAATTCACTGCTGCAGCAAGTGCTGGCAGCTACAAGCATAAAGGTAAAGGTAAAGGTTCCCTTGCTCGAAAGCCAGTCGAATCCGACTCTAGGGTTGCGGTGCTCATCTCCGTTTCAAAGCCGAAGAGCCAGCGCTGTCCGAAGACGTTTCCGTGGTCATGTGGCCGGCATGACTAAACACCAAGGTGCACGGAACGCTGTTACCTTCCCACCGAAGTGGTACCTATTTATCTACTTGCAATTTCTTGCTTTCGAACTGCTAGGTTGGCAGGAGCTGGAACTAGAGACGGGAGCTCACTCCGTCATACGGCACACTCGGGTCTCGAACTGCTGAACTACCGACCTTCCACAGCCTGCAGTTCAGCGTCTTAACCACTTGAGCCACCGCAGCTCCTAGCTACAAGCATAGACAGCTTCAAAAGGGGATTGGATGAACATCTGGAACAGAGGTCTATCTGTGGCTCTTAGCCACAAGGTATAGAGGCAACACTGTGCCTGGGGCAGTGATGCTCTGTATTTTTGGTGCTTGGGGGGCAACAGTGGGAGGGCTTCTGGAGTTCTGGCCCCGCTGGTGAACCTCCTGAAGGCACCTGGGTTTTGGTCACTGGAGCCTCCCAACCCGGAGTTGGCAAGTTGCAACCCTCTATCGGATCTGCAGGAATTTTCCAAGTCGGCAACATCATGCGTCGGTGTCCCTTTAAAAACCTACCCGACTGGTGGAGTGGGAGTAGCAAAATGGTTAAAGCCAGAAGCGTGGCTGCAAAATATATAAACTGCACTAGCCTTCGGACACTTTTAAAGTTCTAACAAACTTACAGGCGCATGCGCTCATTCCTCGGACGACTTCCTCCCGGGGGTGCGGAGCGGGGAGAGAAACGCAGTCAACTTGTCATTGGTCCGGCAGCCAGCGTCTCGAAAGGAGGGAGCCAATCGGACACGAGCCCTTCTGGCGTCACAGACGGCGGGCGCCCTTCGGGGGCGGGGCTTAGCCTCTCGGGGATCCTCCCTCCCCCTCCCAGCGTTTCTCTCAGCGGAGTCGCTGGCGCGCGGCGGCTGTGGTGACTTGCGGTTGGCGCCGCGGGACGTTCCCTCCCCGCCCGCGCCCCACCGCAACCGTCCCGAACGGAGCCTCCGTCGCCCGAGAGCGGTCCCCGTCCAGCCGCTGCCATGAACACGCCGCTCACCGGGCTGGGCTGGACCTCAGCTGCCAACGTGGCACCCGCCGGCTGGACTGCGGTGAGAGAAAGCGGGCGGCGGCGGAGAAAAATTGCTCCTCCCTGACCGGGACCCCGGAATTCTGAGAGCCGCGCGCCCCTCCACCTCGAAAGGGCGGGAAATCCGGGAGAGAGACCCGTTTCCCTCAAGGGGTTAAACTGGGGGTGTGGGGTGGGGGAATCCCAGTAAGCCCCGCGGATTTCCTCCTTGCCCGTCTCTTCTTCCCTCACCAGGCGGCCTCGGCTCCTTCTCGAGTTCTTTTAAACAAGCGTTTATAGAGATCTGTGTGGCAGCAGAGCGGGAGAAATGTGTACACGTTATCGAAATCTGTAAATATATGTCGGGAGCGCCGAGACGGGTCCAGTGTTCCCTCTAAGCTGTAGAATCTTGTGAGCAAAAATTCTACTTTTTGAGCCACTGGCATTAAAGTTGTGAGCAAGCGATTTGGCTACTGCATCAATTAGTTTGCTCTGGAGCCCTCCTTCCTGAGCGAAGACAAAGATGTGTGAGCCAGAGGCTAAAAAAACTGTGAGCTGGCTCACACTAACTCAGCTTAGGGGGAACACTGGACGGGTCTCTTGTGTTGGTTTTGGGGGGCGCAAAGCGAAGGCAGGAGCCCGGTGGCAACTTCTAGGCTGGCGTAAAAATGACGCATTGGAGATCCTGACACACCGGCGCGGCTGCAGATGTGGGCTCTGACCTGGAGAAAGCTGGTCCTGGGAGGCGATCAGTCGATAATTTATTAGGCTCCTGGACAAGTCGAATAGAACATACATCATGGGATGTAGATTCAGGTGGGCAGCCGTGTTGGACTGAAGGAGTAGAGCAAACTTTAAAGGGTGCTTTCACACACGCGAAATAATGCAGGGTCTGTCCAGTTTAACAACTGTTTGCACGTGGATTTTGCCATTTCACACAGCAAAATCCAGTTGCCAAGTGCATTGAAAATGGGTTGAAAGGGCGCTATTGAGTGTGTGTGAAAAGTGCCCAGAGTTTGAGTCCAGTGGCATCTTTAAGCTTTTTCCCGGAATTAACCTTTGTTGGTCTTAAAGGTGCCACTGGACTCAGACTTTGTTTTATTTGATTCAGGGATGCAGCCGCATTGGTCTGAAGCAGTACATCGAAGTTTGAGTCCCATGGCACCTTTCAGCTTTCCCCCAGAATTAAACTTTTGCCCCGGTCACACGGCAAAGTTGCCGCGGGAGAGGCACGGATGGTGGGCGGATTATCCAGGCGCGATCACACCCCAACATCTGGGAAATGGAGCGCACCCATGGCTTACCACCGACAATGCACGCTAAAAAACTAGTACCTCCAAGGTACTAGTAAACATTTGCCACCGGCTGCCTCCAGACGCGCGTGGTGTGATCGCGCCGGTGCGCGGTATTCCCCTCCGGTCCCTCGTTTACCCACTAGCGCCAAGGGAAGGACCCGTGGTGTGCCGCTGGCACATCTGATCGCGTAATCACGGATCAAAATGCGCTGGGGCAATTAGCCACGCCTCCCCCTGCAATATCTGGCCCGTGTGACCGGGTCCTTTGTTGGTTTTAAAGGTGCCACTTGACTCAAACTTTGTTTTATTCAATTCAGGTGGGTAGCCATGTTGGTCTAAAGCAACAGAACAAAGCTTGAGTCCAGTAGCACCTTTAAGACCAACAAGTTTAATTCTGTTTATAAGCTTTCATGTGCATGCACATTTTTCCAGATACTGTTATCTGAAGAAGTGTTCATGCAGATGAAAGCTTATACCCAGAATTAAACTTGTTTGTCTTAGAGGTGCTACTGGACTCAAAATTCATGCGGGAGTATATTTTTATTAAGTCTTTAAGGTGCTGCTGGACTTTTGTTTTTGATAGATGCAGGTGGGTAGAGCTGTGTTGGTCTGAAGCAGCAGACAGTATAGTGGCACCTTTAAGACCAACAAAGTTTTATTCTGGGTATAAACTTTTGTGTGCATGCACACGTCTTCAGATACATGTATCTGAAGAAGGGTGGGTGCACACAAAAGCTTATACCCAGAATAAAACTTCATTGGTCTTAAAAATGCCACTGGACTTAAACTTTGTTCTCTTGTTTTAATAACATGGGATATATCTTTACGGCTGCTAAGCCGTACTACCAGGCTTGGGATCCTGAAAGGATACAGTCATGCACTAAATTATATCTCTAAATAAATGCTGGATAAAACAGGTTTTCAAGCCCATCTCTAAATTCAACTGGCTTCAGAATTTTAAAAAAACGAAAAATTGCTTTTGCTGTTGTTTCTTTTAAAAACTGTTGCTGATGAAGGCGGAAAACAAAATGGTCAAGTAAGGACTTCTAAAGCACTCTTGTTTTGTTATCTGCTCATATACACATTGAGTGATTTTTTTAAAAAAAGTTAAATATATTGAAGTTAAGTACTAGAGCAGTGAAAAGGATGAGAAAGGCAAATATGCTAGTCTCATTCTCCTTTAAGAATTTAGACTGGTGTTAGGAGGATTCCAGCTCATGTAACATGTTCTTTGACAGCAGGAGAGAGTGAGGACTGAGGAGTGCTTGTCTGTAGAATAATACAGGGAGTTGAGAAGTGCCCCAAATTCAGATTTGGCCACGAACTTTGTAGGATGACCCTGGGTCAAATATTATCCCCTCAGAGCAGTGGTGCAATCAAACTGGTCTACTTTAGAGGACTGTTGCGAGAACTATTGAGATAAAATGTGCTTGGAACATTTTGAATGCTTGACATAAATGCTACACAGATGTTAAGGACCATTATTATTGTATCAAGGTGGATTCCACTGAGACAATGGGTGAGCAAGATTTATGACAGGAACATAACTGGACTGCACAGCCTTTAGTTCACACTCTTAGCTTTATTTATTTAATTAATGCATTTTTAAAATTCTACATTCATCCAAGCAGCTCAGAGTAGCATACATCTTTCTTCCTTCTTCAATTTAATCCTCACAATAACACTGTAAAGCAGATTGTGCTGAGAGAGAGACTGACTGAGGGTCACCTAGCAAACTTTATGCTAGGCTAGGATATGAACCCTGGTTTTGCATATTTTAGTCTGGCACACTTGCTTCCACACTTCTTTCTAAAGATTGGCAATGTTAATATACCATGTTATGCCAATAAGTCAGGGTTCCCCAACATGGTGTCCAAGGCAGAGATGTAAAATTTCCGGAAATTTTGAAGCTCGGAAAAAAAACTTTTTTTTTTGTTGTTGTGGGAAATGGAAATTTTTGGAAAACTTGAAAAAAAATGCTACATTAGCACTTCTTTTTTCTTTTCCAGATTGAAAGTCATTCTGTTACTTTAGGAACATAAAATATGACTATGGACATTTTTACTTGGCATGAAATTATCACAACTAGCATATTAAAATATCTTGTGTCCAAACAATTATTATGAACAGAATACCCACCCACATTCAAAAACAAAACTGAAACCTTTTTCTTGTCTTGTGACAATAGCACCTCCTAAGGGAAGAAATGCATCTAGTTCTAGCATTGGAGAGTTCAGTTTGTAACCTAGGACTTGCTTGTCCTCAGTGCACAGAAATTAGATCAATCTGATACCATATATATATATTTTAGAAATGATTTGAAAATATTTGAACACCTTGTCTGAAAATATTTTATTCATCATGTTAAAATAAAACGTTCCATAATCAATTTTTTTTCTTTTCTTTCAATTTTTCCAATTTTTCTTTTTTTATTCCCCCCAATTTTTTTTCAGTTTTTTCCCGGGCCTTCACATCTCTAGTCCAAGGGCACTATAGCCACCTACCTTTGTTGCCTGCCAAACTTTTCAGAAAGAGGGTGGGACTATTGCAAGGCAGGTTTTGTTATTAGCTGCCCTCATGCAATTCATGAGAACCCTTCTTCCCAATATATCTTTAGTTCTTGCATGAATATTCCATCTCTCTTTTCTGCTCTCCCTTCCCTCATAGCTCATAAATTCTTGACTAGGAGGGCAGTTTACACTAACCTTGGGTTTACAACTGAGTTACACTGCTAACAGTCAGTTGTGGCTCTTGGGTGAATGAACCCTGTACCGGTTTCATTAGTCACCAGCTGTATGCAGATTGCTGTGAGGCACAAGACCATTGCTGGAGCATGGAAATTTCATGTCATTCAGATTCCAAACCGGTTTGACTTGCAGTATCCATACCAGGCCCTGGTTTGCTCATGCAATCCCTTCTTCCTTCATGGCTTCCTAGCGTTCTTATCTAGTTTCTAAGATACTAAAAGACTGTTGATAGGTCTGCTTCCTGCCCTTCCCACCAGTTCCATGTTTCGTCACCTGCGTCTGTCATTGTGCTTTGCAATTTAATAACCGGCTGCTGTTGTATTCAAGGGGTGTAAAAATGTGGAATAGCATTTTAATGCTCTGTGCATCACCTTAATATAACGTGGAAGAACAGTATGTTCTCAGACTCTTACCGAGGGGGTTATTTCCCCCCTTTATGAGACCCATACATTCTGAATCCAGATCTACAAATTGGACAGTCTACAAATTGTGTTCTCTCAGCTGCTACTGCACGCCAGTTTCCAATGTCTGGTGCTGGCTTTCAAGGCTCCTTCCGGGACTGTTTGTTAAGAACATCAGTTAATTTTAGACTCTAATTGAGCAGGATGATGCTTCCCCCCGCGTTGTTTCCTAAGTGCTTTGCTCTGTCTCTTGTAGATTACGACCACTGTGGAAGGGGTGTCTGCAAACTTTGGAAAGGGATTTGCACAGAAGTCTGGCTACTACCTGTGCTTTACTTCAGCTATAAACTGTGCGGTAAGGGGGATGCCGGGCTGGCTGGGCAGGCTTGTGCATCAGTAACTCTGTGCAAATGATAGACTGAGTGGAGTCTGCTTCTTTTCAGAACCCCACAGGAGATATAATATCTGACGTGGTGATCCTGAGTGACAAATCTCCACTGCCTTCTGGATATGTTTATGTTAAAGAATTTTTAGATCCAAGTAAGTCCATCTTTTAGGGCACAGGGTTTTTTTTAATAGTCTGTATCTTATGACGATGAGCCTTCAGTGGGAACTAACATAAGGGTGATTTCTCATATGCAAACTCATTTGCACCACTTGGTCAACAACACATAATATTGTGATCACTAAGCAGTAGTGGTCGTGCATTGTACGATGATAGCCAATGATATGAAATTAAACACGGTATACCACAACCTAAGTCATAACTTGCAAATCAGAAAGTTCTCTGAGGGTCCTTCAGTCTAACCTTTGGTCAAGAAGGCAGGATGCTGTATGTTTAAAATTATGTGGAGAATAATCTGTTTGAAATGTCAAGAGGTTGCTACAAGAGACTCTTTGATTCCACCCCAGACTGTGGATCTCTTGCTCAGGAACTCTTCTGCCAAACTCTGCTTCCAGCCCAATTAATGGAACGGTATTTATAGAGTAAATCAGGTTACAGCAGCTAAAATTACCACTGCATGTTAACTGAAGAGTAAGTGTCTTGAGAAGAAGAGGAGATTGGATTTATACCCCGCCCTTCACTACTCAAGGGAGTCTCAGAGTGGCTTACAAACTCCTTTCCCTTCCCCTCCCCACAACAGACACCCTGTGAGGTAGGTGGGGCTGAGAGAGCTCTGACAGAAACTGCTCTTTTTCAAGGACAGCTCTTATCAGAACTATGGCTTGCCCAAGGTCATTCAGCAGGTGCAAGTGGAGGAGTGGGGAATCAAACCCGGTTCTCTCAGAGTCCGCACACTTAACCACTACACCAAACTGGCTCATAAAAACTACCAAGAGATGCTCCATACTAATCAGAGGCATCAGACATAGCCTGATTATGCGGTGTTGGAAAGTTGCCCTCGAATACGTACTTCTTGTTTAGAATCTGAGAATGTTAAACATAGAATTTCTTGTTTAGGCAAAGAAGGGTCCAAGGGCCTTAAGGAACATGGGATTGTTGCCAAATTAATTTTGTTTGGCGTGTTTTTGTGGAACTAGCTCTGCATAGTGTTTGCTTATCCTTAATGTTTTTCTAATAGCCTTGCCTCTTTTTAGTAAGGGATACTCTTTTCATGGCTTTGTGATTATATCTGTGCATATGTGCGCACCTCTACAGGGCTGATTTTTTTCAATTGTTGAAAATTACGACCAATTTTTGTTCTATCTGTAACCTGACTTTCTCACCAGTGAGAACCCAGAGTGGTTTACATAGTTTTCTATTCATCCAATCTGTCCTTACAGCAGCCCTGTGAGGTAGGCTAGGCTGAGAGTGTATGAGTAGCCAAGGTCACCCAGCAAGTTTCCCATGGCAGAGTGGACATTCAAACATGGGTTCCCCTAGATCCTAGTCCAACCATTGCACCATACTGGGTTTTTTGGGTCAAATATTAGCATATAAATGTAAAGGATGAAAAAAACATGCAGTTAAGAAAGAGAACTTGTAAAGAAGTTTAGATCCATTGTTTTCCTATTGTTTAAAAAGGGTATTGGACTTTGAAGATGATTGGCTATTATGTGACTTTTATGTGAGAGACTGGATTGGAGAGGGGCAAGCATGGTTGATTTGGAGCTTTTAAAATATTAGGACCACTTGCAATAGTTCTTGACAGTTGAAAAAAAGAGACAGTAAAAATACTGTGGAATATAGCATTCCAGTTTGGAATATAGCCAGTTTGGTGTAGTGGTTAAGTGTGCGGACTCTAATCTGGGAGAACCGGGTTTGATTCCCCACTCCTCCGCTTGCACCTGCTGATGTGACCTTGGGTCAGTCACAAGCTCTGGCACAGCTGTCCTTGAAAAAGAACAGTTTGTGTCAGAGTTCTCTCAGCCCCACCCACCTCACAGGGTGTCTGTTGTGGGGAGGGGAAGGGAAAGCAGTTTGTAAGCCGCTCTGAGACTCCTTTGGGTAGTGAAGGGTGGGGTATAAATCCAATCTCCTCTTCTTCTCTCATTCAAGAAAAGTGTTCATGGTTTACATACAGAAATAATATCAGAGTGATAGTTAACAATGTATCCATAGATGATTTTTCCAGGTAGCATGTAGAAATCTTACAGGCAGTCGTCACATATTAAGAGCAAGGGAAGCATTTTTGTTTTGTTCCTTAGTCAGTTTCCAAATATATTTATTTTATTTATTTATTATTTACATTTTTATCCCGCCCTCCCCGGAGGCTCAGGGCGGCTAACAGGCATGTAGCAGTACAAAATATTAAAAATACATCACAATTTATAGCCTATCTAAAAACAGGACTATCTAAAAACAAGATGGCAGTCCTCTGAACGTTCTTGCCCATGATGCAAAAATTTTTTTCGGGCTTTGATGGTCCATGCCCATATCCAGATGTCCATATACCGGAAATTCCGGGGATTCCAGGAATTCCAGGGCGTCGATGGTAAACAGATGCGTTGGTGGTATACTAGTGGTGGTGGCGGCTCCTATTCGAAAGCCTGGCGGAAGAGCTCCGTCTTGCAGGCTCTGCGGAACTGTGCTAGTTCCCGCAGAGCCCTGATCTCCTCTGGGAGCTCATTCCACCAGATAGGAGCCGCCACCGAAAACGCCCTGTTCCTGGTCATGGTTAATTTGATGGCCCGGGGACCCGGTACATCCAATAGGTTCCAGCTCCCCGACCGTAGTGCCCTTGGGGGAACATGTGGGGTATGTATTCAGGATGTATTTGTTTATTATTCAGGATGTATTTGTTTATTCATTAAAATATTTACACCTTGCCTTGAGGCTCAAGATGGCTTACAGTTGTAAATTTTAAAAACATATGCGATACACTAAACCCCATTTTAACTTCCTTCCATGTGAAAATGCCTCCAGCTTACGCTCTGTTGAAAGCCCTAGTAAATAAAATGGCCTTCTAGTCACCTCTTAGAAACTTTGAAAGAATCCCCCCCCCGGCTTCCTCAGGGAGCCCATTCCAACAGAGCTCCAATAGAGAAAAGCATGGATTCTGGTAGATGCCAGGCATATGTGGCAGCTAGAATGTGTCAACCTCTGAAGACCATGGTTGGGGACAGGGGAGAGGTGGTCCTTTAGATGTGTGGTTGCAGTGCCAGGAAGGGCTTTTAAAGGTCATAACCAGCACCCCGAACAATTCCTCATGCCTAATAGCTCGGGGCTATCAAGCTAATATGAACTAAAACCAATTTCAAAATGTACTTGAAGGTGCCTTGGGTAATTGAAGTTAAAGCCTCAGGAGATGTCAGTTCGGGCTGGCTTTCTGTGTGCAGGGCATCTGCAAATCTGATTAGTAGAACTTAGTTTTAAAGTAGTTTATCATTTATGAGTTGTTTATCTTTTTTTTTTTTTTAGCTGTCCCAAAGGACAGGATTTTATTAATTTTCCAAACAAACAATACACATACAAGTAGACATACGACATATAACATATATGAGGGTAAATATAAGAGCTTGACCATCGTGAAATTGCCTTCTAAGTCTAGACTTCACTTCATATTCTGTTATAATATATTAAACACTTCTGTGACTTATACCATACATTGAGTTCTGAATCTAAAGCTGCATTTTTAAAATTATAAACCAATGTTTACTGTCTAAAAAATATTATCAATAAGTCATTCTGCTTCAGTCTGTTATATCTTTGTTATACCAGTCATAGAATCGTTTCCATGTCTCATCAAATGTGTAATTTGTAGATCCTTTCATCAATAGAGTCAGTTTATCATTTTCTGCTGTTTCCATCAGTTTATTGATATATTCTTGGTTCTTTGGTACTTCAGTTGATTTCCAATATTTGACATATAAAATTCTCGCTGTTGTAGTAAAATAAACCGTCAAGTATCTAATATTTTTATCAAAATCATTTGATAGTATACTCAAAAGCAATACTTCCAGTGTAAATGGTATCGCACATCCTAAGATGTTTTGAATTATTTCATGGATCCATATGCAATATTTCTTAGTAATACAACAATGCCACCATATATGGAAAAAAGATCCTATTTTACTTTGACATTTCCAACAAATATGAGAACATTTATTATTTGATTTCACTATTCTATCAGGAGTTATGTACCATCTATAGAACATTTTATACATATTTTCTTTATATGTAATAGCTTTTGTAATTTTAATATTTGACTTCCTTATTTGCTCCCATTGAGCTAGATCAATATTGTGACCAACATTTTGTGCCCATAAGACCATATTAATTTTAACAGTCTCATCATACATTACATCACTGAGTATGAAACTAAAAATTATTTTCATTAGCTTAGAATTCGAAGACGTCAAGATTTTTTCAAGTTCTGTCAAGTTTTCATAAAATCCCACTCTTCTATCTTTGTAGAATTGAGATTCTATTTGAGCTTTATGCCACCATGTTAAGTGATCTGGTACTCTCAATTCATTCTTATCATTTAATATAGCTTGACATCTTATTAGTTCTTTTCCAGCGTATACATTTGGAAGCGTAAAGGCTTCTATAGGAGCTGTAAGTCTTGAATTTTTTGTGTAAAAACTTTTATAGATAGCTTCCCATACTTTTAAAAGTGATGCTCGCAGCCAATGTTGCTTAAAGTATTTCTGTGACAATGCCTTTTGATACCATAAAAAGGCGTGCCAACCTAGCAAGAGATCATGACCTTCTAATTTTAAGATTCTCTCATCCTCTAGTAATCCAGTCCTTTATCCATACCAGTGCCGCTGCTCTGTAATATAACAACCAGTTTGGTAGACCGAATCCTCTTTCTTTAGTGTCTTGCAACGCCTTAAATCTTATTCTTGGTCGTTTTCCTTGCCATATAAATTTTGAAACTACTTGATCCAGTTCTTAAAAAAAATTGGTTCTGTAGTATAGGAATCGTCTGGAATAAAAATATCCACCTGGGGAGGATATTCATTTTAATAAGCGCAATTCGTCCCATAAAAGAGATCTGTAAACTTTTCCATTTTTCCAAGTGTTGTTTAGTTGTTTTTAAGAGTTCTTTATAATTGTTTCCATATAGAGCGCTATATTTATTGGACATCATAATTCCCAAATATTTAATTCTATCTTTAATTTGAAATCCTGAGATCTCTTGCAGATGTAATTTTTGTTTTGGGTTCATATTTTTGGTTAGGATTTTTTCTTAGCTATATTTATTTTCAGACCTGCTACATGGCCATAGGCCTGTATTTTCCCTTTTAATATAGAGATAGAGGTTTCAGGATTTTCAAGTATAAATACTGTATCATCTGCAAATGCTAAGAGCTTAAATTCTATTTATGTTTATCATTGCACATTCTAGTTTATTACATGAGGTCCAGAAATTTATTTTGTTTAAAAAGTGAGCTTTAGGATTTTCAAGATTTTGACCCAAAACACACCAATAGATTACAAATGATACATGTAAACACACTGACAACGTTCTCACTTCTGCTGACTAGCATATACAGATATATGTAGTCCTGTGCCCTGACCTGGGTGGTCCAGGCCGGCCCAATCTTGTCAGATCTCTGAAGCTACTAAGGGTCAGTCTTGGTTAGTACTTGGATGAGAAACCACCAAGGCAATCCAGGGTTGTAAGGCAGAGGCAGGCAATAGCAAACCACCAACCACCTCTGTTTGTCTCTTGCCTTCAAAAGCCTGCAGGGTTGCTATAAGTCAGCTGTGACCTGATGACAGAATAACATTTTTCAAAAACGCAGTCCTGTCCTACCTTCAGCCCCATTCATTTAACTTTCCCTTGGACATATAATACCGGCCTTTTCGTTAAGGAGGACAGGCGTTTCCGATCGACTGGATGTCAGTTGTGTGAAATTCCCTTTTCTACTTCCTGCTGTAGAATCTTCTGTCTCTAAGAAGAAAAGGCTGTGTGTAAAGGTGATTCCGTTGGGAGCTGCAGATCTAGCTGTGCTAGAGATCCTGGTCACCAGCAAGAGTAAATTGCTCCCAAACTATTTGCGGATAGGGTGAGGCACTTTTTTTGTCTTTATGGTCGTTTGTTTGTGTGTCAGCTGCAACTGGGATGGTCTCACAAAGTACATACTATTTCTCCTGCCTAGGGAAATGAGTGGCTTTGCTCTGTGGTGTAAAAAGGATCATGTTCTCAAGCCCAAACCCCTCCCCAAGCCACGGAAGATCAATCTAGAAATGAAGCATCTTTCACTAGAGCCAGACAAGTAAGTTCCTCAACTTCCATTGTATCGTAGACTCCTGTCCAACTTTTGCACACAAAAGAGTTGCTCGCGCTCACTCCAGGCAGTGGACTTTGACCGTTCCTTTCTCTAGCTGTACCTGCTCTCTCCGGTAGAAAACTGCAGGCCTGTTAAGGGGCACTCCCTTCCCTGCCAAATGTTAATCCAGAATGTCATCCCATCCAGTTGCACAGTTCACGACAAATGGTTGGATGGCTAGGCCTTTGGTTATAAAACAAGGTTTTTGGGCAATCATACTATTGTGCTACTAGTTAGCAGGCTTATGCATGTTTGCACTTGTAAAACACACACATGCGCATGTGCTAAGTTCCTGGCTTCTGGTCTGGAGACGGTAAGCTGTTGCCTGCCAAGCAGATAGAACAAGATGGGTAGCCAAGTTAGTCCGTCTGTAGCAGTAGAAAAGAGCAAGAGTCCAGGAGCACCTTAAAGACTAGCAAAGTATGTGGCAGGGGATGAGCTTTCATGAGTCACTGCTGACTTCTTCAGGCCAAGCAAGTAAACAGAAGCCCAAATATTCCTTTCCTTGTGGTAATAGCTGCGGTGGCTCAAGTGGTTAAGACGCTGAACTGCAGGCTGTGGAAGGTTAGTAGTTCAGCAGTTCGAGACCCGGGTGCCGCATGACGGAGTGAGCGCCCATCTCTAGTTCCAGCTCCTGCCAACCTAGCAGTTTGAAAGCAAGAAATTGCAAGTAGATAAATAGGGACCACTTTGGTGGGAAGGTAACAGCGTTCCGTGCGCCTTGGTGTTTAGTCATGCCGGCCACATGACCACGGAAACGTCTTCAGACAGCGCTGGCTCTTCGGCTTTGAAACGGAGATGAGCACCGCAACCCTAGAGTCGGATTCGACTGGCTTTCGAGCAAGGGAACCTTTACCTTTAATAGCAGCGGGAAATAGTTCCTAGCTTTGGCTTCCCTGTCTCTACAGGAAGCGAAGGTCACCTTGTTGCCAGTTTTGAACCAAGAGGCTTGTCATCCCTCACCTATGTGGTATGGCTGCATTTACTTCCAGCCTTCCGAAGCCTCTTTTCCGGATCCATTCTCCTTCAGATCCATCCTCTTCTACATCTGTAAACCAGTTGCCTTTAACTCTTTAAATGACTAAGAACTGCTTGCTGATGGAAGCAAGTTTTATGCATGAGCGGAATAGAAGCTTAGAGGATGCCTACTTAAATGCACTCCACTGTTTGATGCAGTGTCATCTCACTGCTGCCATATTGTAGTACTCTACTCACCTACTATCACAGCTTCTTTGATTCCTTGCTAGCGTGGGTTAAATCCTCCCAACTTTCCACCGCACCACGTGGAGGCTCCAGCAAGGAGGATCATTGGGCAAGATGCCCTTCCTCATCCTCAAATCACCTGGAAAGTTGTAGGATGCAACTCCTATCATAGCATTGTACAACAAACATAAATATCATCCAGTAGTAGAAACTTCAGAGCAAGTGCAGGAGAGACAGGATTATAGGGCATCTTTCATTTTGCATCCTAGCACCCCCTTGGCAGTTAAGCCCCACAAATTCAAGTTCTATGCTAGGGATGCCAGAAATGGTCTTATTTTGCTTTATGGAAGCTTAGTCAACTGCTGTGTTGTGTTTTGATTTATCATTGGAGGTTAGTGACAAGCAGAGATGTTTAGATGTTTTTGGGGAAGATGGAAGGAGCCCCAAAAGAGAGTGCAAAGAAGCTATCTTCTAAACGCCGGAGCCTTTCCCCCTTGCCTGCGTGTGTTCAAATATACATCCACAAATGAGGGTGAGAAAAATGCTAGAGATTCTGAGGGCATCCAGGTTGTGGACTACTAGTGAACTCTTGAACAGTTCTCATATCACCAGTAGAATGTAGCTACTTCCATCAAGTAAGATTGCTCTGAAATGCTTGTCATTGTAGTTCTTGTGGTACAGATGCCCCACCAGAAAGGCCTCCACCTCCATTTGGCCCCAAAAGACAAGCGACCCTTAAGCACCATGAGTCCATATACGAGAGTTCAAATGTCTATGCCATTTCAGGTACGTATCATCCTACATGCTAAGAGTCGAATCTGTAATAAGACGAGTTTATTACTCTGCCTGCTGCCTCCTCGACACTTCTCCCTCTCACGCGGTTTTGTAAATGGATGAATTCTTGTGCCTAAAATAATGCGTGCCCTCTCTCTTTCCTTGCCTCGTTTTTGGGATTTTTGCTTCTGTAAGAAAATGGAAGAATATGAACAGAAGCCAGTGGTGCAGTGGACATACATGTTCAAACTTGAGGCCTGCTATATTGTCTCATGTTCCCTTTTAGTCAGTTTAATGCCAGCATTTGCTGTGTAAAAACTAGGTGTAGAACTGCCACACTGTGTGTATATTTAAAAAGAACTTTGGATAGCATCTGAACTTAAATATTTTTCCCCCTTTAGCCATGGATGGGGTACCCTTTGCTCTGCATCCCAAATTTGAGAACAGCGACAGTGGCAGCACTAATGTAAGTACTCAACGGTGTTTTTAGAGTTTTGGCGTGGGAAGGAGGAAAATGTAGTATAGAACGTGGCAGGATTTCACGAGACGACTTCTACTGGGAGTCGATGTTCCCTCTAAGCTGTGGAGTCTTGTGAGCAAGAGTCCTGCTTTGTGAGCTACTGGCATTCAAGTTGTGAGCGAGCGATTTGGCTGCTGCATAAATTAGTTTAATCTGGAGCCCTCCTCCCTGAGCTAAGACAAAAATGTGTGAGCCAAAGGATAAAAAACTGTGAGCTAGTTCACACTAACTCAGCTTAGAGGGAACACTGCTGGGAGTTTTCCAGTGAAGAGGTTAGTTTCTCAGATGCCTGCTTTGTTTCTTTACCAGTAGTTCATCTAGCTAAGGTAAGCAATTGGAAGCCATGTTTCCAAAACACAATAGTAGTGTAACCGTTTTGGAAATATGGAGTTTTAACTGGAGATAAGGGGACAATGGAAAGAGCTTTATGGAGTCTTGGTGTAAGAGGTCATTGCCGTTTTTCTCCCCTCCAGGCTTCTTCATTCTTTAAAGACTTCCATATTAAATCTCTCACTGACATCGAGAAAGAGGTAAGCAGCTGAATTTGATCAATAATATAAAATATGAAGCTGCCTTTAGTCTCTCTCTGCATCACTGTTGTCCAATGCCTTTCCCTGGCTTCGTGAAATCTAACTGTAAACTGAGCTTGAGAATTTCTACATACAAAACTTGTGTTCTACCAATGAGGGATGGTCCTTCCATAGTGGAAGAATGAAGAAACAAAACAGTGGTGCCGTGGGAATAAATGTTATTCACTCTATGTGCCCGGGTGTGTGTGTGTGTGTCTATATAAACAGTAAAATAAGCAAAACATTTCCTAATACTACAAGATATGTTAATAGGTTATACAGGTAAAGAAAAAAATGTTTTATGTATAGGCATTTAACGACAGGGCTGCTCTTGAGCATGTACAAAGTGCATTATGTCTTGGAAACGTATACACTTAGCAAAATGTAAACATTAAAGAACAGGAAAAATATAGACGTATGATATCGTATCAATTATATTAAACTGAGTACAGTTATCCATTGAAACAGAAAAGTTCTAAAGCAGGGGTGGCAAACTCATTTGTTATGAAGGCCGGATCTGACGTAAATGAGACCTTGTTGGGCCGGGCCATGCATGTCATAAAATGTAATGCCAGGTAGCGGAGATATAGACTTTATAAAGGACATAAACACAAAGGGTTTTTTTAAACTTTAAAAACATGCTTAAAACATTAGCTCTGTAAGCTGCAAACCTACTTTTGATTTATTGACATTCACCACAGAAATCTCATGCTCAGAGTTCTGAGTCCAGGACCCAGGTTAAAACATGAAATGGCTGAGTGAGAGAGTCTGGCGAAGCAAGCTATGATGCTGCAGCAGCAGCCAAACTGGAAGCAGGAGATGGCCAGTTCCACTCCGGGCCTGATAGAATCCCTCCGGGGGGGCCTGATCCGGCCCCCAGGCCGCATGTTTGACACCCCTGTTCTAAAGTGTCAGTATTATTCCCAGTCAGCCAGCTGTGAATAAAAACTGCTGTCATACGCACTTTATCTAATTAATGCTCTCATTTAACCCATGTGATGCCAGTCAAAAGATCTACTCAGCCTCTTTTTTAAGGAGGGTCTTATCATTATGGCTATGTGATCTATAAATGTCCCAAAAAGATATATCTGTGGGAGCATGGTTTTGTTCTAAAAAATGTTGCACCAACAGTGCCCCAGTTTTTTAATGCAAAATGTTATGGTTGTGTTCACCAAGATGCACCTTTCCCCCCACAAGTATAAATTGTATCGCATTTACACTTAATTAAGTGCATCACAAAACCTCAATTGCATGTTTTAAAAGTTTAAAGTGTATCACTTATTATCATGTGGACTGATAAAGCTCTTCATAGTACTGGTAAATTTACAGTAGGCACAATTGTTACATGGGAAATGGCCAGATGGAAAGTTTGATCCTGGCAAAAGTTTCTGTGGGATGGCTGGTTGGGCTGTGTTACTGTGTTACCAGTTTATCTCTTAAATTGTCAGATTCAGGTGGGAATACGTCTTGGTCTGAAGCAGCAGAACAGAGTTTTATTCTGGGCATAAGCCTTGTGTGCACGCACACTTAGAAAGCTGAAGAACATAGTGAAATAAAGGAAATTAAGGGTGCATAATTTGCTAAATGTACTACATTTTCAAGACATCATAATGTACTCTTTACATGCTCAAGAGCCCTGCCTTTGTATTATTCATACATACATTTACATACAACATTTTTCTTTATATGTATAACCTTTTAAAGTGTCTTTCAGTATTGGGAAACAAATCTTGCCTTTTTAAAATCGTTTTTTTTATTTTAACATTTATATAGATGCCCCCTAGGAAGTGCAAAGCAAAACGTGTTGGGGCACAAAGAGTGAATAAAATTTATTTCCACGGCCCCAGTGTATTGTTCTATCCATTCCTTGGCTTCCTTGGTGCTGCTCTCCACAGTGGAGTCTGCTGGAGCTGCTAGTTGATAAAGGCTGTTCTGTTTTCCCTTTCAGTATGACTACAGTTTTGTAGTTGAAAGAACGGCAGCTGCCAGACTCCCACCTACCATCTCGTAGCAGCTTCTTACTGAAAACAGCACGAATGCTTCTCTCTCCATCAAATGCGCTTCAGGCCCGGAGCAGTCAACTTCATGCTGCTTGCTGAGGTGACGGAAGTGCTCTTCTAAAAGAAAGGAGCTATCTGAGGGTGCCGCTTTAGACGCTGAAGCTTGTAAATGTGACTTTCTCTGTGATATGCTAACACGGGTACTATGCACTACAGTTTGCTACAGGTATAAGCCAAATATTGTTACATATGTGCTCCCAGCATGGGGATGCCATATAGATCTCTATGCAAAGCATTTAAGAAACTTATTGTATGGGCAAAAGTATTCCTGTTCTTACTTGTGGCTGTTCTGAGAATTTTAAGTGCTCCTTATGTACAACTATAGTGTACAGAAGGGAAGCATGTTTAGCAAACCTGAACTTCCCAGTTCCAGGAACCTGTACTGTAAAAAGTCATTCACTATGGAATTGACCGTGTGTGTCCTGAAGCCTCTCCGAGGAAGGAAAAACAAGGACATGACACAGGCATTATGCAGCAAAACTTTCATATTTCAAAATGCACTGATAGCAGTTTAATTACCAAATCAATGACCACTTTTTCCAGGAGCAGAAGGGCAATACAAAAATCAACAGCTGCTGTTACGGCTGAGAAATCTTGAAAGTTAGCGTAGCCGTATTTCTCCACCCCCACCCCCCAAGTCTTTTATTGTGGTTTCCAAAACTGCACACTTGAAATTGCATCCCAGTACCAAACTGGAGTGAAAGGCCAGTCCACTCTCACAAGAATAAATAATTCCTCTTGCAATGCTGTGTGCCGGTTGTTCCCTTGTGTTGTTCTTCACATCTGCCCGGGAGAATGGGACCCATCTCAGGAAGGCACTTTGAGCTTTGTGCTGCCTAGAAAGAACTGCAGGATTCTGTCCACCATCAAGGCGAGGAAGAAATTGGCCATCAGGACTTGAGTGATGACTAGCTTAAACTGAAACAGAAAGGAAAGATATACAGAAGCTCTGTAAGACAGTACCCTATTCATTCCTTTGAGACCCACCGTGGTAGGGTGCAACCCAAGCCACATTCATAAACAGTTCCAACAGTGACACACATCAGTGGAGAAAAGAGCTGCCAAGCAACTTTGCTCACCTCTGTGGGGATTTCCACCAGTCCAAACTGATCATTGAACTCTGGGGAGGAGCCTGTCAAGAGGGCTACGATTGCCAGCCCTGACAAGATAATGCTCCACAGCAGAGGTTTGTTTTCCCGCAGACTTTCCATAAATGGATGACCCTGGAGCAACAGAGATGGGGATTGAAAAGACCTCCATGAAACAGTGCATTGCATAAAGCTGAAATCTTAGTGAAAGCCAGTTTGGACTTTCCTTGGCAAACCAGATGACCTTGAAATGGTTTTACGTGGACTTTAAATGCTTGTGACAAATTCAGAAGTTTTTTTTCTGTACTCAGCCTATTCCAACACACACAGCATGTAAGAGAGATCTAATATCTAACCTCTGATTTCTCTCCAGGATCTATTTGTAAGACAACCCAAAAGCCACAGTACCATGGTTGGTAATCCAGTCCACTTAATTTTATTCAAACCATTCTGCATGGATGTGGGGGAGGAGAATCCCAAAATCTGGATTCTAGACTTCCTTCCTGGGAACTGGACAACATTTTCTTAGTCTTTTGGCATAGCTTCATGTGTCTATCACAATATTATCAATACCCAGTTCTTTGTTTTTACTTGCTAGCATCTTGGCCATTCTTTTCTGCTCACTGACTTGCACATCTTTTGAAGCCATGGGTCCTAAAACTAAGTGCCATGCTCTGTAACAGGGGACGGCAGGAACAGGAAGTGAATTGCAGACACACCCTACTCTCTGGCAACTCAAGAGAATTCAAAATACATCCTACCTTATAGTTGATGGCAAAGGTGGCCATTTGCATAGCCATGGACATGATGTATACAGTGCTGTTCACGAGACTGGGCTCAAACTCCTTATAGAGATCCACAAATCCCTCTTTCCTTAAAGAAATAGAGAATGGCCCTTGAGAGCTTGACTCGAGAATGCTTGGCGCTTTGGTGGATTTATCATTCAGGTTACGCATATTAGTAATTAATGCAAAATTAGCCTCAGGTTTTCCGTTTGCGAGCTCTTATGTTTTTGCCCATGTTCCAATAAACTGCTATTCATTTCACTGTTGAAGAACTTTTCTTCGGGATTAAATCTAAAGAGCACTCACTTGGGGTCACTGCGGGCCTGCGCTCCTCGGTACAAATAAACCAGGCTGAGGAAATGAACCAGGAATTGCAACAGCACCGTGAGAACTGTGTACAGGTTGAAGATATTGGGGAGTGGGCGTTCTCGGGAGAGGGTCTTGAGAGGCTGGAAAGAAGAGAAAGAGTCAGGACCAGTGCTCCATAAGCTGGTCTCGGTGGTTCTTTGGTATTTGGAGAGCTGGCTATGTGAACCTGGCAGGAAGGCATTCTGGACAACTTTGAAAGCAGCCCCAGATGAAAGAAACAAAGGCTGTCGACTAGCCACAGTTATCACAGATACAAATAACAGTGTAAAATGCACCACTGCACAATTACATTTAGATCAGAATTATGTAGTCATCACTGTTGTGGTCTAGTTCAGCCATATGGTTTCAGAACAACCCCAGATCCATTAAATAGCTAACTTGATTTAGAAATCTTCAAGATACCTTAACATCTGAAGATACGGTTATGCTTTGAAAGAAGCTTACAGGACTCCTGCTGTATGTTTCATACATTTACACAAATTCTACATCAGCCTGTAAAAACCTGGTATTCTTGTATGTATTTTAAACAGTTCTCATCTAAAAAAAAAAATGACTGTAAACAGACACACACATTTGGCTTAAATGAAATTGTGCAGGAGGGTGTTTCAGCATTTGTGGTCCCACAATGAGTTACAGTAGTCAGGACACTTGGCCAAGGTGGGCTCCGTCTGCAGGGCCATTCAGCCTTGGAGTATACCTGGCTTCAGACTTATGGTTTGGGCAACCTTAGTTGTTGGCCACAGTACCAAGGCACCCAGTGTATGTTGTCGCAATCCTTCTAGGCAGTAAGCAGAAGTAATTCAATAGAGAAAGAAGACTGGAACAGGAAGATCATGGCAGCCTACCTTTTTTTATGACTGTGGAGATATGTGGTTCTGAAACCACTGCTGAAGCAAGTTACATGTTATGTGGTTTGAAAAGGCAGCCACGAAGTGACACTGGAGCTCAAGGAGCTCCCTCTCTCACTTAGTCCCCCATGATCAGCAATACATTAGCGGTTCTGATTAGGCTACATTCACCTTTAAGCCTTAAGAGGGGACACGATCACCGGAAGAAGATAGCAAGTTTATCAGGGCCTCTCTGCAGTCCTATACAAGGCTTCCTTCCTAACTAAACAAGCTGAATGGCATTCAGTAAGAACATAAGAGAAACCAATGTTGGATCAGGCCAATGGCCCATCTAGTCCAACACTCTGTCACACAGTGGCCAAAAATACCAGATGCCATCAGGAGGTCCACCAGTGGGGCCAGGACACTAGAAGCCCTCCCACGGTTGCCCCCCCCTCCAAAACACCAAGAATACAGAGCATCACTTGCCCCAGACTGAGAGTTCCTATCTATACCTTGTGGCTAATAGCCACCAATGGACCTCTGCTCCCTATGTTTATCTAATTCCCTCTTGAAGCCGTCCGTGCTTGTAGCCGCCACTACCTCCTGTGGCAGTCAATTCCATGTGCTATTCACTCTTTGGGTGAAGAAGGACTTCCTTTTATCTGTTGTAACCTGACTGCTCAGCAATTTCAGTGAGTGCCCACGAGTTCTTGTATTGTGAGAAAGGGAGAAAAGTACCTCTTTCTCTACTTGCTCTATCCCATGTATAATCTTGTAAACCTCGATCATGTCACCCCCCCCAGCTGTCGTTTCTTCAAGCTAAAGAGCCCCAAGCATGTTAACCTTTCTTCATAGGGAAAGTGTTTCAACCAATGTTGGAACACAATGGATGGGGCAGTGGTGTTCTTTTGGAAAATCCTAGGCCCAGGAAGTTTCATTTTCTTACACAGTTTATTTAACATTGGTTTACATTGATCTGCACAGGACAATGACTACTGGGAAGCCTACTTCACCACTACACATCCTCATGCTTATCTCTCAGGCATTGCCAGTACTTTCAAGCTCTGCTTTTAGAGCCAGACACTTTAGATAAATAGAAGCTGAGATTTGCTGACTGCTTATTCTCACGTGGGATGCACACAGCTCCATGTGTAGGGAAGACAATGGTGAGAGGGCAGGACCTTCCTCCTTACCTTGGACCGTGAGATGAAGAGGAAGCAGCCAGCCAGCAGCAGCCCCTGCAGCGTCGCCTGGAAATCGCTGAACTTCACCCCTTCCAAGTAAAGGACACTTTGGCTGTAGGCCAAGATGAGGGCGTTCAGCGCCAGGATCTTGAACATTTGAAGGGTGGTGACCAGGGTGCAGCGGCCCTGCTTGATCACGTGGCAGACTGCAGTGAAGAGAAAAGGAAACCTGGGTTGCTCCGGTCTCTGCCCTGAGCCCATGCAAGAAGGGGCCCAGACAGGTGTGCTTTGTTCCAGACCTGGCCATTCCCATTAAGCTGCCACTTCCCCCAGTTCAACAGAAACTCCCCATTGTGAATGTAAACGGAGACAATCTCATGCTTTTGGGTATTCCCCTCCCACAATTAGAAATCTGATTGCTCCGCCCTCTCCAAGGCGCACACAGCAGCTGTACGGCCTTCAGTACACAGGCGCCCTCCTCCTCCCTCTCCCCATGGCACTTACTGCACTGTATAGAGGAGAGCTTGGAGGTGAAAGGGGCTGCGATGCTGGCATCACCCAGCTTCACAATGGGTACTTGTTCCTCTTCCAAATCCTTCAGCACCTGGCTGATCCTTTCCTGTCGGAAGACAGAAGAAGGGGGAGGAGAGCCGAATGTTAAAACACGGCAGGGCTTCAGGTGGAGCCCTGTGTAGAGAGCCTGGGAAGGAAAGGGGCTCCTGCCATCAGCGCCCGGAGAGAGCTCCAGGCAACCTACCCGTTGCATGGCGAGTTGCTCCTCCCTGTGTGACATGAGCCGGTGCTTGGCAGCTCGGGAGGTGGGTCTCATGTTGCTCCCAGCCAAGGAGGAAGACGGCAAGGCGGGTCTCCCATCAGCAGGTCCGTCGCGGGGTCTCTTCCTGCGCTCGGGGAGTCTTTCAGGCGCATTGGCTAGTAGAGCCACTCCTGCAAGAAGAGATCAGGTCAAGGATTATGTTCTTGTTTGGGGGATTTTGCTTGGACCCGTACGGCTGTACATCTTTTCCAACCTTAATAACCCACTGGTTCAATGAACAAATGCTAAATGGGGTGGAAAGGGCTCCCCCCTTTTGGGACTTACCCACATCAGCATGCTTCAGAGCCCCCACATCATTGGTACCGTCTCCGCACATCAGAGTCACGTAGCCAAGTCCCTTCAGTGTTGTGATCACAAACTCCTGCATTGGGAAGCAAAGAGTCCCAGAATGAGCACCTCTCCCTCTCTCTTTGCATTTTTGCATTGTGTGTGTGTGTGCGCCCATGCCTGTAAGTCACGGCGACCTATGGGGCATGGAGGACGTTCAGAGAAGTGGCTTGATAGCCTGCCTCCACCTCCTGGCTCTGGGATTCTTTGGAGGGCTCCCATCCAAGTACCTTCCAGGGTCAGCCCTGCTTAGCTTCCGAGATTGGGCTTGCCTGGGCTTTCCAGCTCAGGGCAGAATGAGCAGCCCTCTTGATGCTCATGCTGTTGTCATGCCTTTACGGCAGTCACTCAAGAATTAAATGCCGCTTTCCCTTTCCAGATCGTTAGCCAGAGGAAGATGGACAAGTAAAACCTGGCTCCTCAGTGTCTTCCGAACAGCCGGATTTATGATACTAAGCAGGTGGGGAAACAAGCTGGCCTGGGTAAATTAGAAAGGAAGGTGGAAAAGCTTTTGGCCATGTCAGCATGGCATTTGCTTGCACTCGCTCTTCAGCACTTGAGTACAGAGAGTGCACAGCTACAGTGTTACTGAAGAAGGAATCCTTTTCAGTTTGGAAATCAGAAAGAGGACTGTGTGGAATACATGCTTTTCATCGTCAAAAATCCTGCGCAAGTCCTCGACCGACAGAAGTTGCTCTGATGAGATATATTTGCTGTTTCCATTTCTTTTATAACCATGATTTCAGCTTTACTCCACCCATCACTTCATGGAGCTCAGGGCGCCATTATGCAGGTTCTCCCGTCCCCCCATTTGTCATTCCGCAACACCAGTGCTTTCACACGTGCTGAATAATGCCATTTCAATCTACCTTCAGTGCACTTGAACAATGGTTTCCAAGTGGATTTTACCATTTCACACAATAAAACCCAGTTGCAAAGCACGTTGAAAGTGCATTCAGTGTGTGTGAAAGCACCCAATTGGACAGTCTGGGCTGAAACACAGTGACTGGCTAAAGATCCCACAGCAGCCTTTCGTGCATCAGCAGCAATGTGACTTTTAAGTCTTCTCTGCTCAGCACTCTCTATCATCTCAAAAGATCTTTCAACTTTCTAGGTTGTGTTCCACTGAGTCATAGGGTGCCCCAACTATGATTGCATGGTGGTCTGAGTGCAGGTGACACGGCAGAAATAAAAGGCACCCAGATCCGTTTGTTGACTGGCTCTTAGGCTGACTGGGAGGATGTGAAGGGCCTTGGGAACTCTGCAACAGGGATACACTTCCTACCTTCTGCTTGGGTGCGACGCGTGCAAAGACCTGAACGTGCGGGATGAGCCTCAACAGGAACTGTGTGTCAGTGGCCTGCAGCTGGGAAAGCCCTTCCCCTGTGACACACAGGTTGTGGTTCTTGGTCAGCTCCTGCAGGGAATGTGGTATGATTGGAAGAGTGATGGTGCCGCTGATGGACTGCCACTGCCAGCTGGAATCTGAAACAGGGATGTGCAGATTAAGACAGAGAACACGAGGGGTTGTTTCTGGCGGAAGCCCTCCTGAGCTCGACTCCCAGGCTATGAAGCTGCAAAGCTCTGATTCCTCAGATGCCAACATCCCCTGCCCCCAAAACTGTGTCTCAAAGAGATCAGACTAGATAGTTCAGTGAAACTGTCTCGCCTGCTCTCTTTGCGACGCAGAGCCAAAGAGTCTTGGGGGCAGGGGATATCGGCACCTGAGGAATCACAGCTTTGGAGCTTCACCCCAGCTCCCAACTCGACCCTGCAGAGCTGCTGCTCCAAGGCACATCTCCCTTCCCAGCCAGGAAAGCCCACATCAGGCTCCTGAGCCCCCCCGCCCCGGGCACTGTGTGCTCTGCTCAGCGCCCCACCCCTCTCACCCCCTGTCTTTTTACCTTGGCCGCCAGGAGGCTGCAAGATGAGTGTCTCCTCCTTTTGGGTGAAGTGAAGCTCCTGTGCCACATGGCAAGCTGTCAGCGGGTTGTCACCTGTGATCATTGCTACCTGAGGAAGGGAGAACAGGAAGGCTCTTTTTGAGACACAGCCTCTTTCAGGATGCATCCCTCTGCTTAAGAATCTACAGCAGGTTATTAGATTACTGTGGGTTCAGCTACCGTTTCATAACATGCCTCCTTCCCACCGATGGATTGATGTTTTTGGAATTGCTCTACTTGGACATTATCATTTTGGCTGTGGCAGACATGGCTAGTGCTCTGGAATCTCCTCGAACTCTCTCTGATCTACCCCTGGAAAAGCAGCACTGCATGCGAAAGATTGGGGGGGGGGGAGAGAACCCCTCCCTGCAGGAAGAACAACCTTCTGTATTCCCCCCCCCCCATTTAACTTTGTGGAAAGGGTCCTCGGATCAGCTTCTACGGTTGGACAATCTTCCATAAGCCATGGGAGCAAAATGAAGCCTCCATGTTTGGAAGCAGCCCAGAAGGTGGGGGGGGGGGGAACACAACAGGACAGAGCTATCTGGCCTTTATGCTTTGTGGGCTTCCCAGGAAAATCTGGCAAGCCCAGTTTAAAACAGGATACTACATTACATGTTTCGTGTATCTCATTCCGTGAGTTCCTCTCCGGCAAGCCTGCATGAATATTAAAACACAAGCAACTTGTATTGTGGGAGCTCAGGTAAGTCCCGGTTGCCATAGGGAATGTCCCCATCACCAACCAGAGGACAGTTAAAGTGTGCGGAAGGGGAATTCCATACTGCATCTCTGCACTCTCTATCACAGGTGTGGCTTGGTTTGTTGAACTGCTGGCCACTATCAGAGAAACCCCCTTTATGTCCAAAATCACAGCAAAAGTAGACTCCAGCCCAGGGGGAAAGGGGGTGGGCAGTGGCATCGAGGCATGATGGCAGGGTCAGCTTGTGGATGGCCACCATGCCCAGTGCCCTTCTGCGACACCTCTGCAGGAACACTTATCTTCTTCACTCACATGATGCGATGCATTCAAGATTTCCCTGATAACTGGCTTGGAGTCCACTTTGAGTGGGCAGGAGACCACAATGAAGCCCATAAATCGAAGGTCGCACTCGAGGGCCTCGCGCTTGATCTCTCGCGCCTGTGGGACAGAAAGAGGACCATGGTGATTACCCCATTCAACTGCTCTGGCAGAAAGAAATCTCCATGGAAATGCACATTCTGATGTCTGGACCAGCCCTTGTCTCTTGGCAAGGCTGGACATGTGTTGGCTGCAAGCTGTTCAAAGTTTCCAACTCATGCCGGAACACGAGATCCAGATTCTATCCAGCTGTCTGTGGGAGAACTCAGCCAGGGCCTCCTCTAATGCTGATAGCATACTATGCTTGTCCTGAGCTAGTAATTCATCGTTTCTTCAAGAAGACGTCATGGAAAAATCCAGCCTGCTCTCACAGGCAGAAGCTAAAAATGAGAGATCACGGGTGGAAGTGGAAATCCAACAACATCATCCATGACAAGAATAAGGAAGAGTCAATAATATGTTGCCAAATCATTTACTGTAGTAATTCTGTAGAAAATTCTCCTATTATCACTCACACGCTAACGAATGCTGCACAATGTAAACAATTCGTTTCACAATATTTACTTCATCTGAGCATGTAGCAATCACAATTCTTATCAACTACTACTTATCAACTCATTGTGAAGACCTTGGGTTCTGTTATTAGAGAGTCAACATGGAATGTTTCCTTCAAGAGTCGATAAGTAGTAATTGATAAGAACTGTGATTGCTACACGCGCAGATAAAGTGAATATTGTGAAACGAATTGTTTACATTGAGAGAAATTCACATTTGATGCATGAAAAGCAAGCTGGACACTATGGATTCTTTTGCAGCTGAAAGGGTTCTCGTCATATTCGCAAGGAAGCAAAGGTCCTTGGCTGGAGGTGTGACCATTCAAGTAACAGTTAGGTTCTGAGGGTTGACTATCAGTGGTTGGGAGACATAACTGCTGCCCTGTCCAGATACAGGCATTCCAGTCTCCCAATGAGTTTTGCTGGGTCTGGCGCGAAACTGATGTGTAGCAGAGTATTTATAAACAATAAACTTGCCTGCAACCTAACATCCCGGAACTCCTGGTTATGTTACCTCAGCTGTGTGTGTTTCCCTGAACAAGCGTCATTCTTTCTTTATATTTATTTATTTATTAGATTTATATTCTTGTTTAAAAAGCAAACAATTTCTTTGGCTGCCCCTTCATTATCCCTCAAGTTCATGACCCAGGCCCAGATCCTGTCTCCTCAAACTGGTTTTGATTTCTCCTAGGAGCCCTGGGGCAGAAGGGTAAGCAGGAAACGTGAATGGGAGAAATCCTGTGGTGTGGCCCCTAGTCCCCAGGAAACCAGCCACAGTATTTTATTTATTTTATTTCACTTATACCCCGCCCTCCCCGCAAGCGGGCTCAGGGCGGCTTACATAGGCACAACTGTGCAATAAAATACAACAGGATTAAAACAGTTAAGGCACCAAGTGCAATAAAGATAGGAGAAGTTAAAACAATTAAAACAAAAACTCGCATCTTGCAGGATACATTAGGAGCTAAAATACTCACTCCCTATTGTAAATACAGATGCATCTTTTATAACACCTGGCTCCTGACAAGAGCATGTGCAGTGCATGAGCTGGTGCTGTCCAAGGAGGAAAAAGTCAACCTTACCTGCTGGTGAGTGAGGTGCCCCAATTCCTTATAGCCAAGTGCCAGTACCCTGGCTCCCTCGCGTGAGATCTCAGTGTGGATGACGTTGTAGCTGTTCGGGCACTGAGAGAACTGCACAAGAGAAAGAGGAGCAGTCACAACAGAGCCTGAAAGAGCATGGAGCATGACCAGAGGGGCACAGCTCGGCGGCATTCCACCATTCCAGACGCCGGGACCCACGGAGCCGCAAGCACAAAGGTATCTTGAGTCACAGAACAGGAAAAGGGAAAGCCATTGGCATGACCCTCACTGGTGTCAGGGCCAGGGCCGTGGGCAGCAGACCCAAGAGAGCTGAGGACAAGGAATCCCAAGTCCCACAACGGCAGCAGTGGTGCAGTGAGGAACGAGCCAGGAGTTAGAGCCACGGAGGAATCCACCATTTGAGTGATCTCACCCTCATAGTCCAGCAGGAACTCTCAAAGAGAGGCAGGAGATACGGTGCCCTTGCTGTGTATGCTAACAGAAGGTCCTTGTAAAAGACAGTGAAATTAAAAAAGATGGATTTATGGGAGCTTGCAACCCGTCAGGTGGGACTCTGTGACCAACCTGAGGGTCCTGGACCACAGGCTGAATACTGCTGTACTAGATGACTGATTTCAGCCCTAGCAGTAGAACTAGGCATGAAGAGCATCGGCCCTGTACGTGGCCCCATCATCAGACAAAAGGGAAAGCCGACTAACTGGCAGAGCACTCTTGCATAGTGCAGGGTGTGGGGGGTTAGTGTACATAGGAAAAAACCTGACAGGTGCGGCTATGTAAAGTTACTCCTACAGGAATTAATGGAAAGAGGAGAAGCAGGTATCACAGGCTGCGGAAATCTCATACCGGGAATGCAGTACAGGGATTGATGTTCTCTAGAATTTCAGGGCATGCAAAACAAGGGCGGGAGAAGAGACACAGAGCCCATTCACTCGCTGATCGGGGAGGCATCAAAATGCAGTTAGGGGGTCACACATACATGCTCCAGCCCCCAAAATCTTGTAAGAAAAAATATATATTAACTGGCAGCCAGAACTGTAAGTGTTAACTCCTCTGAAAGCAATAAGTGAAAATGGCAGGGGTCTGGAACATCACCCCATGATGAGTAATTCGGAATCTACCGTGACAGCCGATCCCTAATCGACCTGAGGACTTGCCTGTGCTTGTTCAGAGGGCATTTACTGAAATTCCTCAGTATGTATTTTGGTGACACAAGCTTTAAAGCACCAAACAAAGAAATATTTAGAATGTGAAGGGGATTTTTAACAAAATCTCATACAGATCATACCGGAAATCACTTCAAATATTTTTAGAAATGCTACGGTTGGGTTGGATCCAGCAGTCCATCAGCAGCAGGCACCAGTGGTCACGGATCTCCCCTACTTTCCCTTCCCCATAACAATCAATTATGACCCCTAGGAAGTGGTAAACAAGATGGCTGCCAGTATGTATTTTAGTGACGCAAGCTTTAAAGCACCAAACAAAGAAATATTTAGAATGTGAAGGGGATTTTTAACAAAATCTCATACAGATCATACCGGAAATCACTTCAAATATTTTTAGAAATAGGAAGTGGTAAACAAGATGGCTGCCAGTATGTATTTTAGTGACACAAGCTTTAAAGCACCAAACAAAGAAATATTTAGAATGTGAAGGGGATTTTTAACAAAATTTCATACAGATCATACCGGAAATCACTTCAAATATTTTTAGAAATGCTACAGTTGGGTTGGATTCAGCGGTCCATCAGCAGCAGGCACCAGTGGTCACGGATCTTCCCTACTTTCCCTTCCCCATAACAATCAAATTATGACCCACAGGAAGTTCATTCGCTGGGTTGTGAAACACACATGGACCTACAAGTCAATGGGCTGCAGTGAGAAGGGGGTGAAATGGCCCATCTGGTCTCTTCTGCCAGAGGAGCTCTGCTGATTTAAGAGGCAAATGGGAGTCGTTTTGCACCCTTCCCCAATGCAGCCCACCGACCTGCGTAACTCCTTCGCCTTCAGAGCCCATGACACAGCTTCCCTAGGATCAGAATGGACTGCTGTGTGTGGGAGGGACTCATGATCCTTGTGTGAGTGGATCAGTGGGCCCAGTCATCAATATGCTCATATAATAAAGAAGAAGCCAAAATGAGAGATCACGGGAAGATGTGGAGCTCCAAAAACAACATCCGTGATAAAAATAACGAAGCGTCAATACAGATAAGTTGCAAAAACATTTACTGAAGTATTTCTGTAGTTCTGTAAGGAATATCCTTCTGTCATCGCTCACACGCCAACACATTGTGAAGACCTTGGGTCCTGTTATTAGTCAACATGGAATGTTTCCAGCAAGAGCTGATAAACAGTATTTGATAAGAACTGGGATGGCTACACGCTCAGATAAAGTATATATTGTGAAACAAATGTTCACATTGTGCAGTATTCGTTAGCGTGTGAGTGATGACAGAAGGATATTCCTTACAGAACTACAGAAATACTTCAGTAAATGTTTTTGCAACTTATCTTTATTGACTCTTCGTTATTTTTATCACGGATGTTGTTTTTGGAGTTCCATATAATAAAGAAGACATGTACTTCTTTGTATTCAGGGATACTGAAAGGAGAGGTTAGTCATAGAAGAATGCAGCCTCTGTTTTCAGAGCATTACTACATCCAAGGGGTTAACAAGGGCTGGATACAGTCATGAGAGACCAATGTGGTGTCATGGTGAGTGGTGGTCTAGGAATGGAGAGATTCAAATCCCCCTCTATACGAAGCTCACTTCACTTGATCCTGACCTTGGGTCTGTCAGTCCCTCTGTCTTCTTTCACTCACCATGCCTCTCTGCTCCTTCATCGTTTAGTTTTCCTGGGAACTCTTCCCATTATTATAAGGGCAGGCTAAGTATGCGCGTGAGGTTTTAATCCCAAACATGCAATATTTTCTCCTCTCCCAGAAACCAGATTGCAGTTTGACTAAAAGTCGCAACCTTTGAACTTTTCTACATCATGCCACCTCAGCCAGCATTGGCAAGTAAGTTTCTCATTCTGAATGTAGATTAAATAGTCCGTGCAATTAATTTAACTTCCTGCTGCACTCCAAAAACTGATTTGAAGCTCAGCTCAAATCAGTATTGATTCATTCCCCCCACATCCATGTCATGGGAGGACAAATCCACAATAATCTTTTTGATGAAAACCTAAGCCATGAACATAACATGTATAGCAGAACAGTGGAAACCCAGATCAGAAAAGGCCAGAGAATCTCAGAGCCATGCATGCTGGAAAACATGGTGATTTTACAAAAGCTCTGCAAAAAAACAAATTTTTGAAGACTACTCGTTTAGATGGCTACATTTGGCCCTTCCCCACCATGGATTTATCAGCAGCCAATAACCATGCAACCCTTCCTGAACACAGAGAAGAAGTGGCAATGCATTCTACAACAGTGGTAAAGGTAAAGGTTCCCTAGCTCGAAAGCCAGTCGAGTCCGACTCTAGGGCTGCGGTGCTCATCTCCGTTTCAAAGCCGAAGAGCCGGCACTGTCCGAAGACGTTTCCGTGGTCATGTGGCCGGCATGATTAAACACCAAGGCGCACGGAACGCTGTTACCTTCCCACCGAAGTGGTACCTATTTATCTACTTGCAATTTCTTGCTTTCGAACTGCTAGGTTGGCAGGAGCTGGAACTAGAAACGGGAGCTCACTCCGTCTTGCGGCACCCGGGTCTCGAACTGCTGAACTACTGACCTTCCACAGCCTGTAGTTCAGCGTCTTAACCACTTGAGCCACCGCAGCTCCTTACAACAGTGGAGCTGTAACCAAAAACACTCTAGAGGAGCCAGTGGCTGACGTTACCTCCCTGAGTGAAGGGTCAGCAGAGAGCTGAATTGGTGGGCATGATAAAGAATAAGAGATGTGTGGTTATTAAGGTTGCCACTCTCCAGGTGGTGGCTGGAGGTCTCCAGATATTACAGCTGGTCTCCAGACTACAGAGATCAGTTCCCCTGGAGAAAATGGCTGCTTTGGAAGGGGGACTCTGTGGCACTGTACCCCACTGAGGTCTCTCAAGCTATTTAAACTGGATGCTTCTTAAGGAACTGGCATGAGTTTATGCTTAAACGCCCCTCGGTCCTCTGCTCACCATTTTGTGCAGCGTCTCCGGGGCTCCCTTCACAGCTGCAATGTAGCACAGATCAGTGGAGCCGACCTTCTCGTAGGAAGCCAAGACCGACATTCTTTTCAGGGCACTGGCAAAATGAAAGCGCTGGTGAATTTTCAGTCCCTGAGTTTTAATACTTCGGGGAAAAACTTTCTCATCTGGAAACAAAGAGATCGGGAAATCCTGAAAGGGTTCAACAGCACCACAAGCAGCAACCCTCCCTTTGGCTCCCGTGGGGCCGGGCCTCTTTCGCACCTGACCACGACACGAGCAGCCGTGCTGGATCGGCCCAAAGGTCTCCTCTAGGCCCGCACCCTGTTCCCATTGTAGCCAGTCAGAAGCCAAAGGGAAGGCTCACTGGCAACAGCCTTCACCAGCTGACTGCTGACCAGCATCTGAAAGTCAGAGGCGTTCTGCCTATAAGCCCAGAGGTCCCATTCGGCTACCATAGACAATGGCTAATGGCACATATAGCCTCCTTAAGTGGTCTAAACTGGTGGCCGCTGCCACATCTTGTGGCAGTGAGTTCCACAAGTTATCAAAACGGTGGGAGCCTGCTCTGGCTCCCCCTCCTGCACCTCAAGGACATAAATGGCCATCCCTTTGCATGTACAAAGGTGCTTCTGTGAATTATACATGTTAGACTGTTCAGGTTTGAATAGTCAACTAGTCTTGGTTATGTGAAAGGGAAACTGTAGCTAAGCTCATAAGTCTTTTGGTGGAAAGAAGCATCTTTGTTCACTCAAACATCAGAATCTCAAGGCATCACAGGAAATCCCTTTATTCCTTGACATCCTCAAATAGCATAATCCAGATAGTACTCCCACTTAACCACTGTTTTCGAAACCCCTCAAAGCATTTCACATTCAATATCTTGTACCTGCAAGGTAGAGACTTGCTTAGGCTGGCAGGTGAGTTCAAAGGTGAAGGAGAACTAAATCGGGGACTTGTCAACTCTGACTTTTACCCAATAAATACATCACACCAAACTCTCCCGTTTTATAGCACTTTCCAAACCAGTTTAATTTCTATTTTTATGTCTGGGATCCAAGGGAAGACACCATGCTCACTCCTCTATGAATGCACACACAAAAAATTACAGCTTTGTGCCCAGGTATTCCAAATTCTACCAAGAAAAGCTGAAATCTGAGACCTGTGATTAAAGAACACAGGATTACATACAGTCTATTGTTTTGTACAATTTAGTTAGAGGTGGCAACCAACCATACAGGCGTGCGCACTAGATCCCATTGGTGTGAAGCACAGAGACCACGAAGAAGATCACAGGATTATATACAGTCTATTGTTCTGTACAATTTAGTTAGAAGTGGCAACAGTTCCTGCTTTGGCACAAGCAATTAATGAAGTTTTCAGAAGGGCATAACTGCATCAAAAATTTGAGGCAAACTTCAAAAATACTGCAACGCCGGCAAACGAGGTCTTTTCTTGTTAACAAATCCTGGGTTGGATCCTGAGGATCTGTTCTGCAGGGGAAGGAGCTCTTCCCTGATGCAAGGAGCTCTTTGTAACATGATCAATTCAAATCTTTCCTAGTGCAGCAGTTTTTAAAGGCCTGGCACATTTGCATATTTCAGGATGGTTTAAATGGTCAGTTAGCAACCCCTTTAAACAGCAATAACCTCAGTTTGGTGTAGTGGTTAAGTGTGCGGACTCTAATCTGGGAGAACCAGGTTTGATTCCCCACTCCTCCACTTGCACCTGCTGTTGTGACCTTGGGTCAGTCACAAGCTCTGGCACAGCTGTTCTTGAAAGAGCAGTTTCTGTCAGAGTTCTCTCAGCCCCACCCACCTCACAGGGTGTCTGTTGTGGGGAGGGGAAGGGAAAGGAGTTTGTAAGCCGCTCTGAGACTCCAAGTGAAGGACGGGATATAAATCCAATCTCTTCTTCTTCATCATCATCAGCTTCATTCCAACTGCCCAGGTACGGATCACAGGAAATCCAAAAAAAAAATAATCTCAGAGCAAATCAGAACACCATGGAGCTTCAAAAAAATCACACTACTGTGTGATAATGGGGACCATCAGGCAGAGATCAGAAGAAGGTGAACCCTCACCAGTCCCATTTATGGTAAAGCTGACTTAGAAGGGGCAAGGACCTCCTCCGAGGCTCCTTGCACCCCAAAGGAGTTCCATTTCTCGCTGGTGTTTGCAAGATGCCAATGAAGTGGCGGGACAGAAGACAGTTCAGAAGCTTACCTTTGGTCAGAGTCCATTCCACAGCCATCAGCATGGCTTTCTCTAGCGGGTCACCCACTAGGGTCCCGTCATCCATCTGCATCAGTGAGTGGCATGTGGCGATGACCCGGTGGGTCTCAATAGGAATGTCAGATACAGGGGTCACGTCTTTCCCGTCTCTGCAGGAAGAGATGGAGGGCCGTGTTAACACGGATAGTTCAGTTAAACTCCACCTTAAAATAAAACTCCGCATAGCGTTCTGGGAGCGGAACTGGGATAAATTATGACTTTAGTGACTGTACAATGTTGCAAGTAATTTTTAAAAGAAAGGGCATGTTTTTAGTCCTTATTGCACAGTGACCTTTGAAACGCATACATAGTGCTTTGGATCCCCCGGGGGCTTTTCTGCAGATGGAAGGCTATCTGCTCACAGAGTGCAACTTTCTCCTCTTCCCCTCCCACTGGAGCCTAAAACAACCCCCATCCAATCCAATATCTACTCAAAACTGATACTAGGGAAGGTGAGGGTACATGTCTGCCTCTCCCTATTGGTTATCTGATTCCCTTGGGCCCTGTTCGACTTTCTCTTCTACTTCTGGTACCAGTAGAATGCCGTATCTAACTCAGTCTTGGGTGGCAGGGTCTTCGATTAATCTTGCCATCTCGTGATGCTGAAGCAACTGCCATTTCTCTAATTCTGGGCTTGTTTTTAATAACAAAATTTTGCTTCCCTCCCAATGCAAAATGGCTATGCAGTTGTTCAAGTTCACTCTCCATCTCAAAATCCCAGTCTTCTGACCAAAGCACCTGAGACCACTGGGAACGGGATACAGTGTGTGTTTGTGGGAGAGGCACCGATGCCACATGCACCAGGACATCACTTCTGGGGGAAACTGGAAGTGACATCACGTTGCTCTAGGAATCACCGGAAAGTCTGTGGTAAAACTATAGAGTTTCTGATGATTCTTAGAGTGGTGTGATGTCATTTCTGGTTTTTCCCCGGCTGTGATGTCAAGTCATGCAAACCACCGGCATTTTCTCTCTTTTTTAAAATTTCTCCCGCCACTGCTCCAAGCGGAGGCAAGCAACCAGGGTTGCTGTTGGGGAAGTCTTCCACCGCAGCAGAAGACCAGGCCACTGCAGCCTGCTTATCATGGCCACGCAGTGATCTTGCCCATCTGGGCTCCTTGCTTGTTGATAAAGGAACCTCATCTTAAAGCAAAGAATCATCATCCGAACTTATCAGGAAAAGTACCTGCTCTACTGTGCTCAAGGGGGTGCATATGTCACAGTGCTGTGGACAGGAAAGTCGCAGAAAGTGACGCTACCCCAAAATACAGCTTCCATCGAATCTTGACTTTCATTCTTATTGATTTTCCAATCTTGGCAAGTAATTGGAAGGGAAACCTCCAAGGAATACCAGGGCCGGGATGCAGAGGCAGGTAATATAAAAAAACTACCTCTCAGAAATGTCCCAGACCCACTATGTGTCGCCAAAAGTCACCATGACTTCCAGGCTCGCAAGCATGCAAGCACGCACGGGCACGCACAAAAATAATCTAAAAGTTATTTATTTTAATGTTTTTTTTAAACTTCGGTTTTACCCTTTGACTAAGGCATGGGAGAGGTAAAATTGAGAGAGACAAGACCTGGCCCAAGGTCACCCAGTGAGCTTCCGTGGCAGATCAGGGGCTCAAACTCAGGTTTCCCAGGCCCTAGGTTGACACTCTAACCGTCACACCCCGCTAGCTCTCTAGTCCTTCACTGCTACAAAGACACACTGCAAAGCATGTGATCGAAACCTAGGGAAATCTTCAAAACCAGACGGATTGTTGTTTTCCAGGGGTCAGAGTCCCCGTATTGTTCCTTGCCCACGGTCCAGCAGAAACAGAGTTATGTGAGTCACAAAAGCTCCTCCCCTGCCACAAATTGTGTTAGTATTTAAGGTGCTAACTGTACTCTTGCTCTTTTCTATTGCTACAGACAGACTAGCACGGTTACCCATCTAGATTTATGTGAATTATGTGACATAAAAGAAATCATGCATGGCTGCGTAATTTATACAGGTTGCAGAATTCTGGTTCTGGTGAACTTTGGTTCTGGGGTACCTAGTTGCAGAATCTCAGTTTTTTAAAAGAGAGCCAGAAGATGCAAAAGCCCACTTTGCCCAGTTTTTCCCCCTGCCCCAGACTAGAAGCAAAGGAAGGGACATCATCTGGCTCAGCCATCCTTCCCTCGTGGCCTCCATTCTTGCTTCCAGACCTACCTGAGCCCAGCCACGCCCCTCACCACCAGGCTGTCGCTGGTGAGCGTGCCGGTTTTGTCAAAGCAGCAAATCTGGACCTTGCCTGCAAAAGGGATGCGGAATGGTTCCGTGCAGTAGACATCTACGAGAAAACAAAATGGGGGAAGTGTTTAAAAGCAGGCCACGCCATCTCCTGTCCGCTTCTGACTCTACCCTGTGGTCTCATGACAACTGACGACATGGGCCTCACCACTACACTCACGCCCTTCATAACCCCTCGTAAAACTTAACACATTTTCAGTAGCAAATGACCTACCCCAACAAAGTGGATGCACAAAGGTTCTCGCTTCTTGTAGGCCTCAACTCCTTCCTCTCCCAGCATGGCCAATTCTCAACCACCACAATGCTTCCAACCCCTTTCCCTCCCTTAATCTTTATGGAATTTAAAAAGTATTAACTGCAGAAGGATGTTTCCGATGCAAAACGCAGCTCCTTGCAAGGAGAAATGGCGTCAACATGGCAAATGGGGTTCAATGTGGCCAAGTGCAAAGTGATGCACATTGGACCTAAAAATCCTAACTATAAATACACATTGATGGGGTCCAAACTGGCAGAGACTGACCAAGAGAGAGATCTTGGAGTTGTAATAGGTAACTCAATGAAAATGTCGAGACAGTGTGCAACTGTAATAAAAAAGGCCAACGCTATGCTGGGGATTATTAGGAAGGGAATTGAAAACAAATCAGCTAGTATCATAATGCCCCTGTATAAATCAATGGTGTAACCTCATTTGGAGTACTGTGTACAGTTCTGGTCACCACACCTCAAAAAGGATATTATAGCATTGGGAAAAGTGCAGAAAAGGGCAACTCGAATGATCAAAGGGTTGGAACACTTTCCCTATGAAGAAAGGTTAAAGCGCTTGGGGCTCTTTAGCTTGGAGAAACGACGACTGAGGGGTGACATGATTGAGGTTTATAAGATTATGCATGGGATAATGCAGGTAGAGAAAGAAATACTTTTCTCCCTTTCTCACAATACAAGAACTCGTGGTCACTCCATGAAATTGCTGAGCAGTCGGGTTAGAACAGATAAAAGGAAGTGCTTCTTCACCCAGAGTGATTAACACATGGAATTCACTGCCACAGGAGGTGGTGGCAGCTACAAGCATGGATGGCTTCAAGAGGGAATTGCATAAACATATGGAGCAGAGGTCCATCAGTGGTTATTAGCCACAAGGTATAGATAGGAACTGTCATGATCTGTGCAGGACTGGGAGACGGGGCCTGGTATGGCCTGGTCCCAGGAGAGACCTGCATGGCAGTGGAAAGCGGACATAGCCTACGATCCCCATAAGGCTTAGTGACGGTAGTAACCAATCAGTGTCCAGGGATTCCTGAGGTGATTGTTACATACTTTGTGGGCTGTGGGAAAACTGCATTCTTTCCTCTCACAGAGCTAAACTGAAGGGAACTGCGTTCTTTTGCTTTTCTGTAGTCTGGCCTCACACAGAGCTAAACTGAGAGGACTGGTCTGAGAGAAAGATCCCTCACTTGGGACAGTGAGTACAGTCAGGAGACCTGGCAGGCTGAGGGCCTTGAAGTAGTAACCAGTTAAGTGAACTAGGTAGTCTCGTTAGATTCGTTTATTTTGCCTTTAAACACTGTTATATATTTTAAAGCACCTTGACTTGTGTTCCTTGTCCCAGTACTGCATTAATAAACCATTTGTTTAATTGTTCTCTGCCTGGTAATCACGCCTATGTTCTCGGCTTAAAAGGGGGCATTTTGGATGGGCTTGGGAGGGTACTCTGGGCCTTCTCAAGGGACCCAAAGTCCAGAGTGGTGGCAGCGGAAGGTGGTGACCCACGGGGGTCATGACAGGAACTCTGGGCAAGGGATGTTCTGTATTTTTGGTGCTTGGGGGGACCACAGTGGGAGGGCTTTTAGTGTCCTGGCCCCACTGCTGGACCTCCTGATGCCACCTGGTATTTTTGGCCACGGTGTGACAGAGTTTTGGACTGGATGGGCCACTGGCCTGATCCAACATGGGCTTCTCTTATCTTCTTATTTCACAAGGGCTGCCACAAATGTATTCTTGACCCTGTTCTGTAATCCAATTATTGCTTTAAGGCCTGAGTGAGCTGAAGCTGGAGGCGGCTTGACCACCCCCTCCCACAATGCAAAGGGTGAACCCTGTTTGTTCACTGGGCTCTTCCCTTTTGTTTACTTTTAAGGGCTGGCAAAGTGACGGTCTTTCTATCTGGTAACGATGGATATCCTGAGAAGTACGGCTTCTAAGAATCAGGCTCATTCCTTGCAGAAGAGGCACCGCTTTCTGAAATTTCTCCCCCCTCAGCAGAAGCTGAAGTACCCTTCTGCTCACACAAGGGGATCTGGGGGACCAAATGCAAAATCATTAGGACTTAGGTCTAGTTAACTATCAGCATAAGCGGCATTTTATGTTGTGCTGTTTTAAGTCCATTGTTGCAAACACTTTAGATCAAACAATCCCCATCTTTTTTTTTAAGTGAGGTGTTCTGAGGGAGAAGTGGTAATAAAGGATGCTTCCCAGGCGCAAAACAGCACCAATCCTGTACCCTGTGGTTCCAAAGTGCCTGGACCCAGTTCCCGCCGAGGCTTGGTACTTACACAATTTGGCGAGAGCAATGAGCGAGGTGTTGACGGCCAAGGAGAGTTCGATGGGGAGTTCCGGGGGGACAACCGAGGTCAAGATTAAAGTGCATTCCAGAAAGAGCTTGTAACGATTCCTGCTGGGGTCCTTGGTACCTTGGAAAGAGGAGCAGAGACACACCAGGTCGTTTGACTGCTGTATGGAGTGGCAAATCTAGGGCGGGAGATACCTTCCTTCAGAAAGAAGTCACTCGCTCGATTAAAGCATCGCCTGGGTTTGTCTGGTACCTCTTTGAAACGCTCAAAGGGTAAGGACTTGTAGTGAGTTCTAAGGAAAGGGTAGGCAGGTTAAGGGTCCAGAGACCATCTGCCCACTCCCAGCGACAGAGGATGGACATGACTAGGCCTAACACTTTCCAGTCTGGCTGAGCTCACAAATGGAGCAGGTGGGCCAGAATGGAGTCCCAACAGTGAGCCGTGAATGGATGCTGACGAACCAGACGGGATTAAAAATGCACCAGAGAGGTAAGGGAGGACTGCAGTGTTTACAGCAGACTTTAAAGCAGAGGTCCATCAGTGGCTATTAGCCACAAGGTATAGATAGGGACTCTGGGGCAAGTGATGCTCTGTCTTCTTGGTGCTTGGGGGGGGGGGGTCAACAGTGGGAGGGCTTCCAGTGTCCTGGCCCCACTGCTGGACCTCCTGATGGCACCTGGTATTTTTGGCCACTGTGTGACAGAGTGTTGGACTGGATGGGCCTTTGCCCTGATCCAACATTGGCGTCTCTTATGTTCTTATGTAAAGAACACTGTCAAAAAACTTAACAGCTACAGTGGACATCCTTGTTCCCCTAAATAATTGATATCAGGCCCTGAAACCTGGGATTTAAGAAGAATTCCTTCTTTGTGTCAAGAAATATTACTGTTTTGTGAGTAGACTGCTAGCATGCTGCAAAAGACGAATCCATTAAGAAATTATCGAAGTTTTGCCTAGGCCAAACTGTCCTGCCTTACAGGAGGCTGCCTGATGCACCCCTGCAAGCCTTCCTTTCTGGCATGGCCTCCTCCCACTCAGCCTCCACTTGGGGGTATTTTTGTTGTCTCTCTGCACTGGGTCCGACTGAATGAGCCGATCACTCCAAACACAGACAGGCAGCCATTACCGTACTCAGAAGAGGAAAGCCCCAAACAGTAACTTGCACAGAAACACAGAGGGTGGTGGAGGAATTCCTCTGAAGGTGGTTAAGCCTTCTGCATGATTGAAGTGCAAGCCCTTTCTGGGTGTAAGAGTGGAGCATTCTTTCAAGGGGGAAAAAGATGCATCAGATGAGAGTAATCATTCTGTATCTCACAGGCTCATCAGGAGGGTATGAGATAGAAGGGGTTCATGGAGAAGAACAACGGAGATGCCCCAGAATGCCATCTGAGAAAGGCAGCCCACAAAAAGACTCTGGGTTGGAGCCAAAGTAATTTTTTTTGCGGCCAGAAGGCATTTCCACCCATGGAAGAGAACTTTCTTGCCCCCTCCCTTGTTTCAGTCCCTGATCTCCCCCAAATGGGGCTCCTGGGGGACAAGGAACCCTCAGGAATGGCATGAGACACAAATCAGGGGTCTGCAGGAGGAAGGGCGAGTTGGCAGAAATCACACTGTCCTTCTGTTAGTGGAAAACTTGCCTCCTTTAATTGTACCCCCCCCCCCCCCGCACACACACCTTTACAGAACACTAACCCATTCGGCCCCCAATACAATTCTCCCTCCCTGGAGGACTCTACCCAGCTTCAGAATGGCAAGACGAGTGCTCAGTATTTTAAATGAATAAAATACCTTCGATCCACACATATGAGGCAGCCGCAATGGCAAAGACCAGCAGGAAGAGGATGAAGATGAAGGTCTCCAAGTTGTTGGCCGTCACCCGTTTCACACCAAACAGGATGGTGCGCAGCAGTTTCCCCTGAGGGGGAAGAAGGTAGAGGCCGCAATGACCTACTGTGACGGGACACAGGTTCACTAACTACAGGTGCAAATACTGAGATTTTTTTTTTTTTTTTCATTGGGGGCCCCCCCCCCCCCCGAAGCCTTTTTGTCCTTGGACTTTAAACCAACCCAATTGTCAAATGGATTCTGGTATGCTGGTGTTATACGTCTTTTACCCTCCCCTCCCATCATAGTGTCTTATTCAGGAAAATGCCTTGCCCACTCTACAAGGACACAGGAGTCACGAGGTTAAAAAAAAACCCAAGTGACTTTTATTCCCCTGGAAAGGGTCAAAGGCTTTGAACCAACAATGGAGCTTGAAAACATTTACAACCCTTGCTAACAGCTTCTGCTGGTGCCTTGTACTGAATGAGACCATTGGTCCATCAAGGTCAGCACTGCCTACTCTGACCGGCAATGGCTCTCCAGGGTCTCATGTGGAGATCCTTCACACTACGAATGACCTGATCCTTTTAAGTGGCGATGCCAGGGATTGAGACTGGGACCTTCTGCATGCCAACCAGAGGCTCTTCCATTACTAAATAATGTCTCCTGAGAACAGCGAGAAAACAACGGCCAATCTGCACTTAAGAGAAAATCATAAAAAACAGGTTGCTTACCAGTAACTGGTGATCTTCGAGTGGTCATCTGTGCATTCACACCAATGGGTTTAGTGCGCCTGCGCTGACCCAACCGGTGCCGTAGCAAGCTATGTTTCAAAGGATTTTCGCGCGAGTCCCACTGAGCATGCGCAGGAACCCCAGCACGCATGCCCAGAGGGGACGGGCGCGGAGATCCCGCCAGTTCCTTCAAAGCACCGCCGCCAATCAACACCTATCAAAAAATCAGGAGCTGACAGCAGAGGGGAAGGAGGGCGGGCGGTGTGAATGCACAGATGACCACTCGAAGATCACCAGTTACTGGTAAGCAACCTGTTTATCTTCTTCGTGGTCTCTGTGTCTGTGCTCCACCCAAAGGGGAGAGGGGGGAGCCATATCCTACCTGGAGGAGGGTGCTGGTAGGATGTTCATCGCTGGGCTGAAGACAAAACGTGACGGCCGATGCTGTCATTGGTGCGTCGGACGTCGAGGGCGTAGTGCCTGATAAATGTATTG